AATAAACTAGTTTGCTAAATGTTAATTAGAATGGTTGTTAATTAAATCATTTGGATCAACCAAAAGATGAAGAGAATTAAGAAATAAAAAAAAGTTTTATAAAAGTGGTTTCAAAAGTGTGTAATTTTCAACCACGATGGTTTGGTCTCCTGCTCAAAAAGATTTTTTTTCTTCCTTAATTTTTTGGTTTCAAATTTTAAAGTTAGCATCTAACAAAATTTATACACCGGTTTAATATAAGTTATGCATTCTTAGAATCATGTTAAAAAAAGATTAATTTCAATTGATGTGCAAAAATTACTTAAAAATATCTCTGACCGTAGAATAAAAAAATAAAATATAATTCTCATTACTTAATTAATCAACAAACATCTCAAAAATTTTAAATATGCATCATAAACTTTTGGGAATAATTTGATAATATGCCTAACCTCATGAGAAATTGAAATTACCCTAAAACGTAACATTACTCATGCCAATACATCTATGTACATTTATGATATTAATGCTTGGCCACGACAATGTTGAATTTTTCAATGAACAAAAGTTAAGAAGCAATTATTCGAGAGGGAACAAAACGAGTACACATGATACGAATAAAACGTGTGAACAATATAATTAAACAAGTGGACAGCATGTGCAAAGCTCTATGACTTTTTGGCTGGTGGATTTGGAAAGGAATTAATGGCTTTCCCTAATAAAGCAGACAGATTTAGAACAACTAAATCGAATTCGGTAACTTTCACTTTGAATATACTGTAAGTAATTAAAGTGATTTGACCATTACTTAATTTGCTCCATTAATCATCAACTTCAAGCTGCCAGCGGCCGGAAAAACAAATAAGCTAGTTAACTACCACCATCTTCTTCACAGGAGCGTGGGTGGAAATGAGCCAGTTGAGATATATATATATATATATATATAATCTCAGCGGCGATTTAGACATTAGATGCCATGAATGCAAGCTAATAAGTCTTTTTCTTTAACATTTCTAAAATACTAATAAAATTATAAATTTCGTATAAAGTTTTTAATAAATAAGAAATAATAATTTTAAATTAATTAAAATTTAGGTATAATTTTTTTTTGAAAATTCTACTAACTTCAATTAATATTCCTACATCATATGTAGAAATATTAAATATCATAATTTGATAAAAAAAAAAACTCATATTCTTGGATTCTAATTTAACCACTTAAATAAAATATCTTATATTATAATGAATAGTACTATGTGTGTTAAATTCCTTCTAAAAATTCATATTTAATTTAAAATAAAAATATTTAATTTCTAAATATTCTATAAAATATGATAGGATCATTCTTCATTATTTTCATTAAAAATAATTTAATTATAATAAATTCAATTTAATTAGAAAATAATCAATATATATTGGACAAGTAAATCTTGATTTAATGCCATCATTCTTATAAAAATTTCATAAGTTAGAAATCCATTTAATTAATTCAATTAAGCACTTAATAATTTTATTTAGACCTTTTAATTAGAGTTTTAACCATTCAAATATATATTTTTTAAGACTTATGGAACTTTGGTTCCAAATTTATTTAAACTAGCCTATTAAACTAGTCCATTAAATGCATGTATTCATTAACCATAAATTCTATTTAATGCCTTAACCTTTGAAACCAATTTCGCCTTGCCATTTTAATTTCATACTTCTTGTCATTAAAACTTTAGCTTCTAAACCAATTAACCATTCAATTAATACTTTCATTTAACCTCAAATTATTTTCATTACTTACTACATTAATTTCTCAAGTCCAATTCAATTAATTAAATAGTCAATTAATTCGTTGAGCTACTAAACTAAACAACTAAGGACATAAACATACTATCTAATTCTCAAACAAGAAATTCATCATTTACATACCATAAATTACTTAACCTAATATCCATTTCCAAATCTAAAAACGAGTTAAGCAAAGGTAAAAGTTTCCTCATGTATTTTACATAACTAAACTCGCGATATGGCAAGTCGATCCTCTTCCTCAATGATGGTTATTTTCTAACCTTGTGTCATGGGCAACATGACCATTTTTTTTTTTTAGTAATACTTGTGTCATGTTTTCTATCACACTTTTATACATGAAGTTCATGTCATGATTAGAAAGGAATCAATCTTCCTTTTATTTTCTTTTAAGCCTCCATGTTTTTCTAAAACAAATCAATAAAACCAAACTAACCGTAATTTTTTTTTTAATCACATACCCCCTATCTCATTCAAGAACCTATTCCCTTAATAATTCAAATGTTATGATAATTCCACATGAAAGATTAGGTAAAGACATTTATTTTTTAGTCAAATAGGCTTGTAATATGTTACATACACAACAAGAAAGGTCAGCTAGGCTCAAAGGAGCTTATCAATGGTAAATTATAAGATAGGGTTTTTAGGTTAAAATGGCTTCTTCAAAAGATGACCTTTATCATATTTATGCATGCAAATCTCAATATAATATCAAAAAAGAATCAAAGTAAGTTCTAGGATAACAAGTTTATGGAAGAATATCAAATACAAAAGAAGTAGAGATTGATATTAATGTTCAATTTATAAGTTCCAAATTCCACATTATAAATGTCTACCAAACTCAATTTATTACCATTCTATAATCAATTATTATACTAATTAATCTTAAGTCATAAGTCAATCAATTTAATCATATTATGCAACTTTCAAAGTCAATTAATTTCTACTCGTTATTCTTACAAACCTCAACATCAATGAAAAACGCCTAAAACATATCAAAATATTATTATTATTTTTTTGAAATTTTAAATTAAAACAAATAAAAAAAACAAAAAACTATGTTCTCCTCACACTTAAATTTTACATTTTCCTCAATATAAAATAACAATCATAAATAATCATAGATGTATAAAATGAAAAGAGATAAAGATGAGAAAACAAATCTAAATGTAGTTATTTAGTCACTTTCAAATTGCCTCTCAAACAGCGCGTTGGTTTGACGTCTCTAGCTCGTGTTGATGGCACCTAATCCTCGTCCAACAGATCGCTGAATCAGAAAATAAGACACTAATGTCCGATGTGGGATGCTAGTTTAATTATAGACCACTAAAGTGCAAGCACGAATTGTTTGACAGGATTCAGGAAGGTAATTAATGTTTGACACATGTTTTGCCGTCAAACCAGATAAATTAAATTAGCAAATAAACTAGTTTGCTAAATGTTAATTAACATGGTTGTTAATTAAATCATTTGGATCAACCAAAAGATGAAGAGAATTAAGAAATGAAAAAAAAAAAGAGTTTTATAAAAGTGGTTCCAAAAGGGATTAATATGAAATATGCGTTCTCAGAATTATATCTTTAAAAAATTTAATCTTAGTTTACGTGTAAAAATTATCTGAAAAATATCTCTAACTGTAAAATCAAAAAATAAAATATAAAATATAATTCTCATCACTCAATTTAATCCTCAAACATCCAAAAATTGTAAACTTGCATCATTAACGTTTGGGGTTAATTTGATAATGTAAAAAAGTTTTGTGCAATTAATGTCGAATTTTTCAATGAACAAGAGTTAAGAAGCAATTATTTGAGAGGGCAGAAAAAGAGTACGCATGATATGAATAAAACGTGTGAACACTATAATTAAACAAGTGGACAGCATGTGCAAAGATCTATGACTTTTTGACTGGTGGATTTGGAAAGGAATTTAATAGCTTTCCCTAATAAAGCAGACAGATTTATAACAACTAAACATAATTAGGTAAATATTATTTTAAGTAATTAATTAAAATCACGATTAAGTAAATGCTATCTGTAATTAATCATGATCTCAGTATTGAAGTTGTTTATTAGATTGTCAATGGTACTTATGATGGTTATATATACATAAACTAAATTGTATTAATCAACTTAAATATTTTTAAAAAAATTATTAATAGACAAGATATTATTCTCCACTATTTTTACACATCAAAACTAAATTAAATACTTTCTTGATCAAGTTCCACACACACACACACACATCAAGTGTATTTCTTTTTGCAATCTTCATTTTGATTCCACCACAACAGTAAAATAAGGGTTTTTTTTTAATATTTATAGATAATGTGATATTTTTTAATGATTTTTGCATCAATTAAAATTAAAATTATTATTTTTTAAACTAAATTATTGTGAGATTATGCTTAAACTTTGATCATATATATAAGGATTGAACTCTTGAAACTCATCAACAATTCAAATTTAGTATCACACAAAAAAAAAGATGTTTTTTAGAGATGAGAATCGAATTCGAATCAAATAATTTAGAAATATTTTCCTTACTACTTCACCTATAATTTTCAATAAATAATCTTAAAATTAATAACTCAAATGTTTGAATATGCACGAACGCATACATATTCCTCTCTTAATTTTAATTTATCCAAAAAAAAATCAAAATCAAAATCAAAATAGAAGTCTCCACAGAAATCATTAATTATTCTCCAATTGGCTCCATGATATATTACTTATCATACATTCCAACAATATTGTTACGAGTATGGATTGGCCAGGCTTCCCACAAGCCACAAAACCGTTCGTGGATGATAATAATATGACATACTATCATTTATTGCCCACTCAAAAAATATATATTCCATGCAAACTCATCTACAGGTCCCTTTTGCAACTTCTGATACTTTCCCAATTCAACATTTTTATTCCTTCTTAAAAAAAATTAAAAAACTGATTTTTTTCAATTTCACTTTAATTATCCCTTTTTCTCCCTTCTACTACTGCTCCTCTCTCTCTCTTTCGGTCTCTCTTAAAACCCAAAAGCCATTACTTCCTTCTACATGAAGAAAATGGGGACACATGATCTTTCCTCAATCTCTCCTCCAGTTTCCCAAAGAACTTATTATCATCACCTCCTCCTCTACCATTAAACACTTCAAATTAATTCTTTCTTGATATTTTAGGGAATCTTCTTGTTTAGTTCCTTGCTTGAATTCTTTCTTTTTCTTTATGGGGGCTGGCTCATCTAGTTTGGCCATGGAAGGTGAGGGTGGTTCAGGTTCTTCTCCATTAAGACCTAATCTTGATGATGTCCCGGAAAGTTGTGTTTCTTCGATTTTTATGTACTTGGATCCTCCTGAGATTTGCAAACTAGCCAAGTTGAACAAGACTTTTCGTGGTGCTTCTATGGCTGATTTTGTGTGGGAAACAAAGCTTCCATCAAACTATAAGTTTCTTGTAGAGAAAGTTTTAGGTCAAAGTCCAGAGAGTTTGAGCAAGAAAGAGATCTATGCAAGATTGTGTCAACCTAATTGCTTTGATAATGGCACCAAGGTAATTTTTTTTTTTTTTTGGTTGATGCATTTTGTTAAAAAAAAACAAAAAGAATTGCAAATGAATTTATTAATTAACTATATACTATAACTCTTTTTTAATGGCAATTAAATTTTCTTATGATTAATTTAATTTCTACAGCAAGTTTGGTTGGATAAAAGCAGCGGCAAGATTTGTGTTGCTGTTTCTTATAAGGCATTAAGGATAACTGGGATAGATGATCGAAGATATTGGAATCATATTTCATCTGAGGAATCAAGGTGAGATATTTATATATTCATTTGATTTTTTTTTTTTTTTTGGAGTTTCTTTTATTTGTTTGTGGCTAGATATTTGGATGGAAAATAGATAATTGGAGTGACCTTTTTTGTTCATTAGAGAATCAATATTACAGCAACTCAAGTTTTCTTTTCTTTTCTTTTTTGGATAGCTAGGGAAGTTTTTTATTTTTTGTTTTTTACATTATATTACTAAGATGCATTAATTCTGAGAAAAAAACCCAAAAATATGTTTTCAATATAGATCAAAGGTTTCTTATGGTGTATCAATAAAAATAATGGGATTTTTGGATTTAAATCCTACATCAAAAACAATACGCTTATCACATATTCCATGGACGTAAGATTTTTCTTTACATGAATATGTTTTTTTTTTTTTACTTGAAAATGAAATGTTATTGTCATGTCTTTTTCATGGCCTCATAAAATTACTACTTTTGCAAAATATCCAAAAACATAGAGCCCATTGGCCCAAGTTTTTCGTATTTAATGTCAATTGCCTCAACGACCTTCCAAATTTAATTTAACATAAAAATCCAAGTAATGAACTTTAATTGGTTATGGTTGTCTAGATATGAAAATAAATAAATAAATTTATTTTTGAAATAAAAAAGTGGACCAGATCGACTTTCCTTGAGGAATGGGTAAGTATTAAATTCCTCTGGCCAGTAGCATGCCATTTCACAAGTCTACAATCAATCCTCAGAAAATAATGCAAACAGTTGACTAAAAACATTGAGTTTGCAAATTCTAATTCGCAAGATGGGAAAATTTTGAAGACTTTATTCCAATTATTTATTGGATTGCTTGTCTTGCGAGCTGTAAGAAATTAAATATTTGTTTGCCATTCTTTTTCTTGGCAGATGCCTTGTCTGTGTGACTAAAATAATGATCAAATGGAACTCAGGTTTCCCTCTTCTAAGACTCCATCTTGCGTGATGGAGCAAATAGAATCAAATTCCTTAAAAGCTTAGTAAGATTTCTGATTGGATCAGCCCGAAAACATTTTTTGTTTTCTTTCCAATGTCTATGGAACATGTCTTCCAAAATCTAAGTTAAACATATAAATAATGTTACTATTGTCTTGTATATCAAGCAAACTTTAACATTCCTGCCTCAAGAAATTAATTTGGGTTATGGAAGAAAGTTACAGAAATGCAAGAACTGATTTAGAACTCAACATCTTTGACATGTATATAGGTTCAACACAATTGCATATCTTCAACAAATATGGTGGTTTGAAGTAGTGGGAGAACTGGATTTTGAATTTCCAGCAGGAACATATAGCCTAATCTTCAGGCTCCAACTAGGAAAAACCTCGAAAAAGTTCGGCCGACGAGCCTGTAACGTCGATCAAGTTCACGGGTGGGACATCAAGCCGGTCCGATTCCAGCTTTCGACGTCGAACGGCCAACAAGCCTCATCGGAATATTACTTGCATCCACAAGGAAACTGGGGGCTTTACCATGTTGGTGATTTTGTTGTTGACAACACAAATACCCAAATGAAGCTGAAATTTTCCATGATGCAGATTGATTGTACACATACTAAAGGTGGAGTGTGCTTAGATTCTGTGTTAATATGTCCTGGTGAGTTCAGAGAAAAATTGGAGCAATTTTAAGGGAAGCTTTTTGTAGAGAGAATTGGTGAGATGTTACATACAAAATGTATGCCCTAGCTAGCAAAAGAAAAGAGTGGGTTAAGTTTTTTGTGGTCCACAAATATTTTATTCTCTAGCAAAGCAATGTAAATTAGATTGATCATGTTCATTTTTGTTGATTAAGGATATGATTATGTTGCAGATTTGTTCGTTGAGCTGTAAATTAAGGGGATACTTGAGCTTGAAAATTTGTGAGGGGAAAAAAATGCGCACTAACGATATATTAAAAGCTCATGGTTCAAATGTGAACGTCTTTTTTGGGTTTTTTTGGGTTTTTAAATGCTAAAGCATAAAGATAAAATGAAAAAAAATTTAGCTCTCATGGTTTGAGTTGAAATTTGATGTCTTTAATGAAAAGGAAACATACCTCTTTTAACTAGTTGAAGAAAAATGTGATTGGGGAGACAAAATCATGAACTAGAGATTCACCTTTTGAACAAATATTTTATGTGATAAATTCTTGTGCTATGTTGTTTTCATGGCGATTCCACTAAACTGGTGGTCAGTCTGGGCCAGTGGGTCAGGTGTCTTCAAACTTGGGCATAATAGCAATGATTAGGAAGGATAGTTCTTCTGTCACATTTATGCTAGATTGGCATTCTTATCCATAAAGGGTTAGGGCTTGGCCATTTAGCCCCACCACCTTATGTGCCACATCAGTCATGAGCTTGAACCACAAATGAATTGAAGTTCAATGAAATGGATGAAAAAACAATAACACATAATTCTGACCCTTTTTTCCCTTTTCTTTTAGAAGACTCCATTAATTTGTTATGTTTCAAAGAAATACAATAAAGGGAGTTAGGTTGTTAATAATATTTATTTCGAAACAAAATTTCGAATATCTTTAAAAATATTATAAAATTATCAATAAAGAATTTGCCAGGAATCTTCTTAAATTTGAAAAGATATATAGATTTTTTTTTTTACCCCATTGGACCTAAAAAAAAAATTTTATACAAGAATGAATATTATCTTCAATCCGAAATTCTAAACTAATAGATTATGAATTCTTTTTATATATAAACATTTTTTTTCTTATTTTATTTTAATATAAGATGTCAACTATTTGCATGCGCCTCCAACAGAGCTATAGTGCCACGACTTGAATCCAATCTCTTTGTTAAGGTGGACTAGATGACTCATTGTCTTCTAGAAACGGGTAAAATACTGCGACAGATGAGAGATAGAAGACGTATTTCTTTGGTTCATGTTGAGATAGCTCAAAGCATGTTTAATGGGATAAGATTTTAATGGATTTTGGTGACAAATGACAATCAAAACAGCCATTCCCAAAACTGGCAATCACTTTCCAATTCCTTCACTTTTCTACAAGCGAATCATAAGACATGAATGATAATACCCATTTTATTGGCTATCAAACTAGAAGTTTGAAGCAAGTTTGCGATTAATCTAGCACCAAGTAGGCGAGTAGTCAGACTATGGCAATCCACCTAGACAGGATATGTGGCTCAAGTTGGGAATAAGTGAATGCTCATTGGATTGGGTTGGGTTCATGACCCTCAGCTTCAAAAGTTCTCGTAGTTTCAAATATATCAAGGGCCATCTATCTTCATTAAGTGATATCCAATCCGGCCTGTTGAAAATAATTTTTCATTTCCACTTACCTATTTTTTTAAAATCATAGACCTATCTTTTCACTATGTCCCGACCTCAAGATTAACCATTTTTCAATTTTTTTGGACTACGCTACATTATGATCGCAAACATATTGGACTTTGACCCAACAAAATCTCCAAATTCTCTTGGCATAATATTTTTTTTTTAATTTGAGTTCATTGTTCAATTTGTATTTTCAATCTGTCCTTTGTATATATGATTAAGTTAATTTTATCTTTAAATATATGTATAATTCATGTTCTTATATCTTGCTCGTGGAGAACAAGTGGTTTCTTATTTAAAGAAGGGTTTTCTTTCTAGTTCAGAAATGGCGTTGCAGCATTTCAACAAAAAGAAGGTTTCTTTCTTTTAATCTGCTTTCTTTCAAGGATTTTAATTTTGGTTTTTTTTTTATTTAAAAAAAAGAAAAAAAACCGTTTTCTTTTTGCAGGGTACAGATTTCGAGCTTGTGAAGTTGGTGGGGGGCTTTCAAAAATTTACTCGTGGTTTGTGGCAACATGTCAACTTTGAGGCTAAAACCAAAGACAGTGATTCCCCAAAACTGTTCTTTGCTGAAATGAACGGCCTTAGTGGGGGGATCACTGAATGTTGTATCTTGGAGCCTGGTAATTTTAAAATATATTACTGGTTTTGCTTCAATTAAACCGCTATGGTGTAATATTTGGAAGTCACTTGCTAGTATGAGTTTTGAAGTTGACTCATTGACATTTTCTGGTTTCTTTGTTATTTCTCTTGCAGGAGCTACTATCGGTTGTGGGTTTTGTGACCCTAAGGTGCTGTTCGTCATCCGCCTGATGGTTTTCAAATGGGCCATTATCCCTACACCATGCCTCGGAATCTGATTGAACGTTCTCCTTTTACAAAAAAGCAATATCGCCGTTTGATTAATTTCAAGTGCAAGGGTTTAACGAATGCTCTTGGTGTCTTTATGTGTTGTCATTCTTGCTAGGACTCTTTTATCCAAAACAGTACTATGCATCCCTCAATACTTAAATGAGTATTCGAGTCTAAGCTTATATGCATGTGCTACCTTGAAGCTGCAATCTCTCAGAAAATTCGTTATCGACAGTAAAAACTTAGCATTTGTTTCTTGGATTTTCCCTTCCATATTCAATTTGTCGTCAAAATGCAGGAGATGAAGTGAAAAATAGAGGAAAATAAATGTTGGGTCTTGGGTTTCTTACTAGCATTTGTTTTTTCGTGATGCTTCATTTTGATTTCAATAAAATGTAAAATGCAAGTCCAGTTAATACAAATAATCTTAACTAGATCCTAGTTTGTGTTTCTTAACTAAAGCAGTGCTGGGCCAACCACTAGGAACGGTGTTTCTTTGGTTTATGTAAAGATAGAGCTTTACATGGAGTTGGAAAGTTGGGTTTCTTAATATTGCAATGGATTTTGATGACAAATGACAATTACAAGGTATATATATATTAACAAACAAAACTAAAAAGAATAAGGATTTTCATTATTCATTCAGACCCAATCAGCCCATTGCTTGCGCTACATCATGGATCCGTAGAATAAAATTGTTTTAAAATTTAATTTTTTTTTAATTATGATATTTTTTAATTAAAATTTTCTAATTTTTTAATATATATATATATATATATATATATATATATATATATATATATATATATATATATATATATATATTAACAAACAAAACTAAAAAGAATAAGGATTTTCATTGTTCATTCGGACCCAATCAGTCGATTGCTTGCGCTACATCGTGGATCCGTAGAATAAAATTGTTTTAAAATTTAAATTTTTTTAATTATAATATTTTTTAATTAAAATTTTTTAATTTTTTTAATAAATTTTCTAATTAAAAAACATAAATCATTCTTCTTTATGGATTGATTTTAAAATTAAAAATTATAATGATTTTAACTAAAATATTAATAAAAAATTAAAAAAATTAAAAATATAATTTTGACAATATTATATTCCAAAAAATAAAGTTATAATTAATGGACAGATTTTTATAAAAATTAACAAATGAAAAAAAATCTTATTTAATGTCGATAAGAAGATTAATTTTTGAAATTATCCGTGCAACATCACGGGTAAATAGAATAAAATCATTTCAAAATGTTATAATTTTTTCATTAATTTTTTTTATTTAATTCATACCATTTTTTTGTGTGTTTTTTATAAAATTTCTACTTAAAAAATATAATTTATTCTTCTTCATTCGAGAATTCTTAAATAAAAACTTATAATAATTTAAACCTAAAATATTAATTAAGAATTAAAAAATAAATAATTTAAAATTATATTTTTTATAAGAATGTATCCAAAAAATAAAGTTACAATTAACGTATAGACTTGCATAAAAATTAACCAATGAAGCAATAAAATTTTATTCTTATTTAATGTTGATGAGAAGATTTTTTTTTTTCAAGTATATGCATTTAATCCATATATATTTATTTACAAAATAATCAATAAAATTAGCATAAAACATTATTTGAATAATTGGTTGGTTCCTTTAAAAAATTACTTATAATTATTTTATTTCAAATAAATTGTTCTATGATGTTAAAAAAAATATTTATAGTAAATAATTTGTATTATTTTGAAAGATGTATAGTTTATTTTTAATAAAATCAACAATTCAATAATTTTTTTATACGTCTTGACCATATCTAATGAACCGAGACAAATTATTTGAAATATACTTTTAACCTTTTAGAATAAAATATTTATATACTTATATATATGCGACTATCATTTAAAAATTCTAAGAATTCATGATATATATTATACCAATTTATTCTGAAATTTAAACATAGAGAAAAATAAATTATATAATATCAATAAATAAAATTTCATAGAAAAAATATTAATTGGATGAGAATTTTCACAAAAAAATAATAAATTCAAAGAATGAAATTTAAATAATAAGAATAATGTAAGCTTAAGTATATGTTAATTTTAAAATATAAAAAGATATATTATATAATCGTCGGTTTATGTGGAAAAAATTACGATTGATTTTTCAAAATTTTAACACATAATTAAATAAATAAATAAAGAACATAAATTGATTGGAAAAAAGAAAAGAAAAAATTGATTTTTCAAAATTTTAACATCCAATTAAATAAAAAAAGAACATAAATTAACAATAAAAAAGGGAAAAAAAAGAAAGAAAAGGCGCAGTACATGAGTTAGGGAATTAAAATTTTTATTTTAAAATTTTAGAAACTAAAATGAAACAACTTGAAAATTAAAAAAAAAAAAAATAAACCTAATGAAATGTGATTTCACTGTTTAAAAATCTCATATGGGAAAAAAGCAAAGGAAAAAAAAAAGACGTGTAATGCATCAGTGACAGATTAAAAATTTTATTTTAAAATTTTGAAAACTAAAATGGAAAAAAAGAAAAAAACTAATGAAATGTGATTTCACTTTTTGTCCATTTGATTTCCGCTTGTTTTGTAATCTAACTCTATTTCGCTAGCTCTTTCTATCTTTTCCTCTTCCAATTCTCCTCTCTCGCTCTCCTCGCCAAATTCTCATCTTCCAGGGAGGGCCTGCACTTAAGATTAAAGGGCTATGGCACCCTATATTCTGTGTGCCCACATCACAAGGAAAATATTCAAGTAATAAATAGGATGTTAATTGAGCCCTCTCCACCTCCAATTTTGTAGGCAGTTGACCCATGGAGACTCATTATGGCAAAAAATTTCTAGCTTTTTTCGTGACTCTGCAATTTTAAATATGTGTTGATTAAATTGACATCATGTTGTTCCACATAACTCAATTAAATAGTCGCTAGAATTTTAGTTTTTTTTTTTTTTTTTTGTTCTATAGTACTTGGAACAAGTATTCTGTTGTTTTGGATTTAAATAAAAACTGAAAAGCTCAAGTTCTTCTGTAAACAATGGTCAAGATTTTTGCTGTAAACTTAGATTTTTTTTTAAGATTGTTTCAAACATTCTTAACACTTGATCTAGACTTATTATGAATATATTATGTTTATATTTGCTTTGTTCTGCCATTAGCCTTTCTATAATTAATTATATACATTTTGAATATAGCCATCCAATAATCATTGCTAGATAAATATTTTTTCTCGTTCACTTATTATAAAGATTATCACTAGTTGAAGTACACTGTATACTCAGAACATGATGGAGCAAATAAATTTAAACAAGTTTCTTTCTAACATGATCCATCTGTACCAACACTATAAAAAAAATATTAATTGCCTGAACTGTATAATGCTGCTCCACCTGCAGCGTAGCGTGGGAACATAACTAGTCTGTGTCTATAGAATTAGGTTGAAACTGAAATTGAAAGACAACGATGAGCTAAGACAAGACAGAAGGGTATAATCGAACGATGAGGATGAATAGATGTCCGGAAATTAAGCGATTCATTAAGAGAATAGAATTCATATACTAAAATAAGTTGCATGTACCTACTATAACACTCAAGGAAATCCATCAAATGCATCATGTATCACTGTGGATGCAGAGTCCAGTGCAATTGCAAAATTGGTGCACTTCTTCAAGATACGTCCATCATCGGTTTTTCTGAAACCCCAAGCTCCATTGAAAGTGTCACATAAAATCCAGTGAGGTCCTTTTATACTCGTTCCTTCGCCAATCGTTGTTACCATATGTGAGCCATCATCAAGTTTTAAGCCTCTCCCTTTAAATATCTCTACGCCGGTTTTATCCATGGCATCAGTCCAATCAATAGGAAGGAGTGAATGACCATTTTTTTTCAATTCTTTGCTTATTTCACTAAGCTGATATGAATTGAATAATTGAAACTTTAACAATTTGATGCAACGGTGTGGTTGTAAGAAAAGAAAAGAAAACACTCCAATCATAATGAATTAAATGAATAAAAGAAACTAAGAATAAATTATGTATAAATTAAGAAAATGAAAACACTCCAATCATAAGAAAAGAAAACACTCTCAAATTGGTACCACTTGTCATTACTCTCCTTATAACTCATTTTGTATAAATTATCTTTGCCTAATCTTATTGTGACGACATCATTGTTAGTCTTAAGTATAATATCAAATGGAATTAATTTCACATTCAATTTCTATTATGTTAACATAAATCGTTCATACCGTTTTGAACTCGTTAAAAAAAATTTATTTCTTTTAAAATATGTTTCCTCACCTTATAATTTTTTTTTTATATCTATTGCATTTGTAAATTATAACGTGTAAATTATATATATATATGTGTGTGTGTGTGTGTGTTTTCTGAAAAGTTTGGAAAATTTGCGTAAACATCAACGAATTGAGCAATCTGTTTCTACTCCATTGCTAATTTGAATTTTTTGTTAATTTGAATTTTTTTTTTGTAGAATAGCTATGTTTCGCCAATCATTAAAAGTGTCACGTAAAATCCAATGAGGTCCTTTTATACTTGTTCCTTCACCAATCATTGTTACCATATGTGAGCCATCATCAAGTTTTAAGCCTCTCCCTTCAAATAACTCTATGCTAGTTTTATCCATGTCATCAGTCCAATCAATAGTAAGGAGTAAAGGACCATTTTTTTTTTCAATTCTTTGCTTATTTCACTAAGTTGATATGAATTGAATAATCGAAACTTCAATAATTTGATGCGACAAGTGTGGCTGTAAGAAAATAAAAGAAAACACTCCAATCATAATGAATTGAATGAATAAAAGAAACTAAGAATAAATTATGTATAAATTAAGAAAATGAAAACACTCCAATCATAAGAAAAGAAAACACTCTCAAATTGGTACCACTTGTCATTACTCTCCTTATAACTCATTTTGTATAAATTATCTTTGCCTAATCTTATTGTGACGACATCATTGTTAGTCTTAAGTATAATATCAAATGGAATTAATTTCACATTCAATTTCTATTATGTTAACATAAATCGTTCATACCGTTTTGAACCTCGTTAAAAAAAATTTATTTCTTTTAAAATATGTTTCCTCACCTTATAATTTTTTTTTATATCTATTGCATTTGTAAATTATAATGTGTAAATTATATATATATATATATATATATATATATTGTGTGTGTGTGTGTGTGTGTTTTCTTGAAAGTTTAGAAAACTTGCTCAAACGAGCAACGAATTGAGCAATCTGTTTCTACTCCATTGCTAATTTGAATTTTTTTTTCTATAGAATAGCTATGTTTCGCCAATCATTAAAAGTGTCACGAGAAAATCCAATGAGGTCCTTTTATACTTGTTCCTTCACCAATCATTGTTACCATATGTGAGCCATCATCAAGTTTTAAGCCTCTCCCTTCAAATAACTCTATGCCGGTTTTATCCATGTCCATCGATCCAATCAATAGGAAGGAGTAAAGGACCATTTTTTTCAATTCTTTGTTTATTTCACTAAGTTGAGATGAATTGAATAATCGAAACTTCAACAATTTGATGCGACGGTGTGGCTAAAAGAAAACACTCCAATCATAATGAATTGAATGAATAAAAGAAACTAAGAATAAATTATGTATAAATTAAGAAAATGAAAACACTTCAATCATAAGAAAAGAAAACACTCTCAAATTGGTACCACTTGTCATTACTCTCCTTATAACTCATTTTGTATAAATTATCTTTGCCTAATCTTATTGTGACGACATCATTGTTAGTATTAAGTATAATGTCAAATGGAATTAATTTCACATTCGATTTCTATTCCGTTAACATAAATCGTTCATACCGTTTTGAACTCGTTGAAAATTTTTTATTTCTTTTAAAATATGTTTCCTCACCTTATAATTTTTTTTTATATCTATTGCATTTGTAAATTATAATGTGTAAACTATATATATATATATGTTTTCCGGAAAGTTTGAAAAATTTGTGCAAACAAGTGATGAATTAAGCAATCTGTCTCTACTTCATTGCTAATTTGAAATTTTTTGTTAATTTGAATTTGTTTCGTAGAATAGCTATGTTTCGAAGAGGTTTAGCTAATGTGTAAATTAATATATATATATATATATATATGTTTTCTAGAAAGTTTAGAAAATTTGCGCAAACGACGACAAATTGAGCAATCTGTCTCTACTCCATTGCTAATTTGAATTTTTTTATTAATTTGAATTTGTTTCTATGGAATATCTATGTTTTGAAGAGGTTTAGCTAAAAATATATTTACTTGTTGTATACCAGCTTATGAATTCTTAGATTTTTCGAATGCCGACATTTTGTAAACTTAAATTTTATGTTATTTTTTGTTTCTACATCTCTTAAGTGATGTTGATTAGTATTGGAGTTAATATTATAGTTATGTGTTATTTATTTTATTCTTCCGGCCCAATTCTAACGTAACCTTAACTTTTTTAGTTTAATGTTGAAACCAATTGAGATAGCTATAAAAGGAAAATTTATAGGGTGAGGAAACAAATTTCAAAAGAGATCAAGATTTTTTTCAATAGAACCAAAAAGGTATGAACAATTTGTATTAAGAGAATAAAAATTGAATGTGAAATTAACTCCATTTGATATTATACTTAGGACTAACAATGTTGTTATCATTATAAGATTGGGTAAAAAAAATTATATATAATGAGCTATAAGAAGAATAATGACAAATGATACCAATTTGAGAGTACATAAATTAAAATATCGGTGTAAAAATATTATATCGTGATTATGGTTATTTAGATTTGATAAGTAAGAGTGCTAATAGATCTAACATAAAATTGAAACTCGAAGAATTAATAAATGTTATGGTTTCATTGGTCGCACAACAAAAAGATCCAATTGTTAAGGTAAAATTTAAAAAGGATTCTTATTCAAATGATATCAAAAGTTGCAATGTTCTTTTCAATCTATGAGTATTTGATTGAATTTTCACAAAAAGACAATTCACACTATATTCCATCTTGGATAATCGATCCGTAGAATGATTGGAGAAAACTTACTAAAGTTTTGTTTGAAGTGGAAGGTAAATTCTCTTTCTCAATTTAACCGAAGAGTTTGAAACGTGTTATAGATTATAGTTTGTATCTATGATTAATTTAATTTATCTTTATATATATGTTTAATTAATATATTATTATGATAAGATTTTAAAGCTAAACAACTAAATTAGTTAAGTGATCTTAGCATGAAAATTTTTCATTCGTCTAGCTTATAAAGGTATAATGAGAATAAAAAATAATCATGTGTAAATTATATATATATATATATATGTTTTCTCGAAAAGTTTGAGAAATTTATGCAAACAATGACAGATTGAGCAATCGCGCTACTCCATTGCTAATTTGAATTTCAAATCCATCGTTAATTTTATCCCCTCGCATTCCATAAATGCTTTCAATTAGCGACGGATAAAGTCTGTCATTAATTAGTGATGAACAACAACGAATTGCTAACGTATATTTTCCAATGATAAAATAGCGACGAAATGTAGTTTCTTTGTTGTAGATCTATTTTTTTTAATGATCTATATTGTTAATGTTTTGAAATAATATCTTTTATTCCTTGTTTACTAATTACTACAAAGGATGAAAGATTCAAGGATTACTATACATTATTTTTACTTACCTATTTTTTTAAAATCATGGACCTATCTTTTCACCATGCCGCAAGCCCAAGTTGAACCATTTTTTAATTCTTTTGGACTACTATACATTATGATCGCAAACATGTTGGAGAACTTGTATAAGCAGCAAGCAGCATCTAGACAAAGACCAAATCCTTACAACTGATGCGCTTTCAATTCCTTTCTCTTTTTTTTTTTTTAAAAAAAAATTTATCTCATTTTTGTTTTTGTTTCTGCTACTCTTGTTTTTTCTTTTTGTATTTTTTCTATTTTCTCGCTAAATTTCTCTCCTTTTAAAAAAACGAGATCCCTTAGTGTAACTTCTGGATTGCCTTTTATAGGCAACCAGGATCATCTTGGGCAGCCTCCATTGCCTTGATCAATCCAGGGCAGCTGGTAAATGGTTTTCAGTATTCCAAAACCATAAGAAAAAGACTAATTGTGCTTTTCTTGTTTTGCAGGTTCTATGTGGAGGAATTAGTTGAGCGGGGGATATCTAGTGGAGCGGGGTTGAATCGTAGCTAGTACCAATGCCAGCTAATAATCCAAGGATTTGCCTTCAGGGAAAAACCAGAAGAACAAAACCAGAAAATCAATTCCGAGCTGGAGCGGATGACTCAATTCATCATTTTTTTTGTATTTTCTTTGTTTTTCTCTTTTTATATTTCTTTTAGATTACCAATACAAAATAATAATAACATAAAAATAAAAAAATAATTAAGATAAAATGAAATAAAGTATACTAAAACAAGACCAAGAACCAAAAAAATAAAAATAAAAATAGAAAAAAACCGGTTATGACAATATAGACTAACAAAGTTTTTGTAAAATAATCACAAACTAATTAAGTATTGCATATTGATGATTTTTTAGTCTAAATCACTATTAAGTCGCTATTTGGCATCTTGTTAAAATGTTCTCAAATACAGTATATTCAATGATATTGAATGAATGGGTTTATATATTACTAAAATTGAAAATACAGTAGTTTATTGTGCCAATTTTAAGTAACTAAGGGACATCGATGATTTTCAAACATAGAATCTTGTTAAGACAAATTAACATTAAAAACATAATTAATTAATAAATAGTCTGTATAATTATAAAATTTTTATTTAGTATCGGCACTTACACTATTACGCGTGCATTACATTAAAAAAAATAAATCAATGATTGAAAATGTCTATAAAAAATAATATTTATTTAAGGATAAAACAGTACTTATGAATGGAATCCTTCCTCTTTTATTTTTGATTAAAATGAAAAATAAAAATTGTAAGATTCTTAATTTTAGAAGTATGTAAATATATCTTTCCATCAACTAAATACTTCACAACATTTGCAATGTCCAGAACTTGGCTTCGGCAAATCAGAATGGCTTATAATTGCTACCAAACCAAGATCATATTTGCTCATTTGCAAAATTCTGGGCACTATTGAGATCATATATGTTGAGACCCAAAAAAATAATGACAGCTACGAATAAAAAAATTTAGTCTGCTTTTACTCATTTATACAAATTAATTATGTATTCATTTTTATCTATTTTATGTTTTTAATAAAGAAAAAAATATGGAAAAGATCAATAAAAATTAAATTAAATAATATATGGAAACTTCATATACAAACATAGTTCGCCTCCCTTTTTTCATCCCAGCACCCCATTAAAACAACTGCACAAACTCACCGGCCAAGCTAAATATAAACCAAGCTTTGAGGAACATTTGCAGGTCAAACTGGAAAAGCAGTGCAAGTTCTTTGACTGTTCATGCCAGCGTCTATCATAATGCGTTACGAATATAAGAACTCAAATATCCTTCAAACCCCGATGGGTTTGGATGTGAGCTCTTATTGTGTTGATGGGAAAGCGTCCTCTTGAGAATGTAGCTATTGAGGAGAACTCAAATATCTTGGATGATTGTTGTAGCTCTGTAAAGGAGAACTCAATAGCTGGAGGCCCCTCGTATGTTGATGGTGGTTTAGGGAGAGAGACCTATTTTTTGCTTTGGTAAATCATGCCGAATAAAATAAAATAAAAATAAAAATAAAAATAAAAATAAAAAAATAAAGAAGAAGAAGAAGACAATTAAAACAATTGACAATTAAGCAGAAAATTAAATAAATTCAAAATAAATGGTAAATGAAATTTAAAAATTACGAAACTTTGGACACAAGTTAAATAACACACATAAAAACGTCAAGCCAAAATGAGCAAGAAAACCTTATTAAAGTTTAAAAAAAAAAAAAAAAAAAAAAAAAAAAAAAAACTATTTAGAGGCTCATTGGGCCCTCAATCCACCAGACCCTTAGCCCAATTCAAAGCCCAACCAGTGGAGCTCTATTTTTCCCTCTAGTCTAAACTCAATCAAAACTCAGCCTAGCCCAAGTTTTAGCACTCAAGCCTTCCTAAGCCCAGTTCTACCTAGCCCGTGGCCCATCCCAAGCCTGATTTCCTAAATAGGCTTCATAACAGTCATTGGTTCTCACATTCAACAAGTACATTTCTTGCAAGTTCATCTTCTCCTGAAGTTCCATCTAATTGGTAATTGATTTATTTCCTTATATCATGAGTTATAATCAGCATATCTAAATAAAAGTTCCTCACCTGTGAACTTCTGTGAAAGAGAAATTAATTAAGGGGCCTTGCTTAATTAAATCACTGAATCAGGGACTAATCATGGATTGTACTCAAAAAATGACTTGTATTATTATTGTCATTATCATTATCATTATCATGAGAGAACGCACGCCTTTGAAGAAGAAGTACTTTATTCGAACCCAGAAAGGTTTCGCAAAGGCCAACCCTGCACCATATGATTGCTAAATACATGGAAGCAAATCAAATTATCATTTCCATGATCATTGGGTTGTTAGTACTCATCATCCTAACACAATTAGATTGCATAATTTTTCCTTAATTAGTCTTTTTCTCTCCTCTTCATTGATCAAGTGTTAATTAAAAAGGAATTTCTTTTGGGTATCAATCTCTCCTGCTTTCCCTTTTTCTTGATTTCTTTTGGTTTTCTTTAGAATGCCAAAATTGAATGGCTATTCCCAAAGGCTTTGGAGCTTTCAATTTACTCTTTGTCAAACCCATAATTTTTCCTATTGAAATCCAGAATTCTTCCCCTTCAAAACCTAGAATTCTCCTCTTTCCCAGCCCTGTTTATGCATGAAATCCACTATTTTTTTTAAACACGTCAGTGTGTAATTGGAATTCTAATTCCTTTAGACACGTGATTTTCCAAAATTTTATTTATATAGATATGTTGGCATATATAGTACACTTAAATTTGATGTTTTGTTGAGCAAATATATTGTTTTCTGGCTTTATACTATCATTTTAACATTCATTCAAATATTGGATTAACATATTTTTGTCTTGGGTTTACCCAATGGGTCTTAAGAAACTAGAGTTATAAGAATCCAAATTTGCTTCACCATGGAAACTACATGATAAGTAGACAAATTCAGGTAACTACTTCCTAGTCGTGAATGAATGCACTGCAGAATCCTTTCTTTCCTTCCTCCTACAAGGAGCTGTTAAATGTCTTAATAGTTAAATAATTCTCTTTGTTATATAATCTACAAGGCAACAGGCTAAAGGATAGAAGAAAGAACATAAAAAAAGAAAAAGAAAAAGAGCATCTCATCAATGGAAAGCATGTCAGGGGAAATAAAACAGATGAGTAAATATTTAAGCTTAAAAGTTCACGACAGCATTCAAAGTGATTCAAGCATAAAGATCCTACTAAGATCAACATTCAAAAGGGTTCAGAGTTAAGGTTAACGACACAATACATGTACTAATCCAAGCCAAATGGAGAATATTTTTAATATTCTCTCAAAACTCCATATTCAACATCTTCAAAGATGAATAATGTACCTGCATGAAAACAGAGAGGCATGCATGAAAATATAAACAAATCATTAAAAAAAAATATACGCCCAAGTTATTTGTTTTCAAATTTCTCATTTTCCTATCTAACAAGGAGATGCGGAATAAATACCTTAATTATGAGGATGGTTTTTCCCTAAAAATTTCAACATCAAAGCCATTAAATTTTCTGTAACCATCGGAGTAGTATTCGCCAGTTTCATGGTCGATGACAATGCCAGTTTCATAATCAATGACGATGCAATCATCATCCGATGAATTGGTATCATCCAGGAAAGTCACCCTAGCTTGATAAGTTTTAATCTTACCACGCTTGTCTTGAGCCTTGAAAGTTACGAAGTATACATCACAATAATAATCATTAACATCAGGCAACTGCAGCTGCTGCAGGTGAAGGCACATTTTAACTGGGGGCAGCAGGAGCAGGAGTTATCCCCAATTTTCTGCGGACATCCTCCAAATCTTCGTGAAAGTGCTTCTCATAATACACACACATGAGATCTTTGCTCTGCATGCCAGCCCGAACAGCCCATGGGAAGTAGTGCTGGAAGAACAACTTCCTCTGTTTTTCCGTAAATCTAGCCGTGCCTCCAACAACAGACATCAGGCACATTGGAAGGTACATTTGCTCGAACTCAATCACCTTGAGAGCTGACTCGCCGATTAAGTTAGTAGGCAGGCCAAAAAGGGTGTGCCAGAAATCATGAACCTCGCGAGCCCGCATCGCAACATATGCCAGTTCTTCAGTTTCCATGAATCGCACTGGTGGACGGTCATCCGGGGAAAAGTTTCTGGATCCCATAAATCTTGCGTAGGCAGCACCAAATGTATTGGCTGGCAAATCCCAAGCATGCCCCACTTGTGCAGATATGACACGAGGTCTCTCCAAGAGAACTGCCTATCAAAAAAAAAAAAAAAATTATTTCACAGGAATTCCAATCATCAGGTGTTAGTCTGTTTGGCTAAAAAGAAGGATATACAAAATTAATTCCAAAACAATTTCATTTTTTCACTCATGACATGCTTGGCTAAAAGCTTCCAAGACGAATTCACTTTGAATCTGCATTGATAAATCTAGAGCCCAGAGCTCCTGTCAAAAATTCATTTTGCCTAAAAATATTAATTGGCATAAAAAGAGAACCTAAGATTCAGCCATGAGTACTTCACAATTACGAGAATGTGACAAGATTGGATTGCATATATAATAATGTATTCACGATTTTACTGAAAAATGATTTAGTTATATCAAACGTTAACTACTACTGGCCAGGAAAAGGATGATGAATAAAATAAATGAGAGACTCACTCTTCCTTCAGGGCTCTTCTTCATTCTTTCAAGAACTCTTTCAAAAGCAGGTTTTCCAGTTGTTTCTCCTAACGCCGCGATCAAATCCGCTCTTCGTGGATCAAACAACGCACCCACCGCGGAACCAACCGCAACCGCCGCCTGTTGCCACCCGTTCAGCCGGATTCTTACCCCTTCTATCATTGCTTGCTATTCTCCCTAACAACAACACAGAATACCTAAATCAACGACAACCAGGAAATATTTTCCCAACTTTCTGTTGCGGCCAGACCGATCTTATGTTGATACTCCGGCTTTCAGGTTAAAACAATGCAGAACTTCTATGGTAAATTGGTAATGGAAGGAGACACGTGGAAATGTGTGATATGACAACAAAAAGACCATAAAATTAATTAGTTTCCTAAGTTAAAATTAGATTGAAAACTATTTTTTAAAAAACAAAAAGGACATATATATATATATATATATAATACCATGAAATAAAACAGATCACAAGCACACTAATCATGAAAGGCACACAATCAGACTATAGGCAATCTCAAATAAAAATGGAAATCAAGAAACGAGGATGAAATTACCCAGCACGGCGAAATAGAGGCTAATGCGTACGAAATGAAAGAAGCAGGAAACACTTTGCGCGTGTCGACAACGCCTTCTATCCCACTCTTGCGCGTGTCAACAACGCCTTCTATCCCACTCTTGCGCGTGCAGTGTTGTATGGCGTCGTAAGCGGTTCGTTTTGATGGCGGTGGAATCTTCTTTGCCGTCCGGCCGCAGCAATGTGCCTCTTCTTCTCTTTTTTATTTTTTCCCTAGTTGTCCCCCTTTGTTTAAAACCGTACATGGTATTCATCGTGTTATTCCAAGGTTTTTTTTTTGTTTTTTTTATAAGGTTTCCTCTTCTGATTTTCTTCATCTTTTTTGGGCCTTTTTTGTGAATTGGGCTAAATCGGCCTTGGGCTCCAGACTTGAAGTCTGGCATTTGGGCCAGGTGCATGCCTAGGACGCCCAAGCCCACTTAACAATTTTTTTTTTTTAACTTTTCTATTTTCTTTTTTTTTCTTTTTATTATTATTTTTGTGGGTGAAAAAATGAAATGATGGCATTTACTACTAGAAAAAAAAATTTACTAGCCCTCTTTGTTTAAAAAAATAATTATTTACTTCCTATATTTTAAAATTTTCTTCTAATTTATAAAATTTAGAAGGATGAAAAAAATATAATATTTTCTAAAACAAAATAATATCAAATTAAGCATCATCAACAGTAGTAAAAATTCTAAATAAATATTTTTAATTTGGATATTGATAATCCATCTAAGTTCCAAATCTCAATAAATATAGATAGATTTAATCTAATAAAAGAAAATTGGTAAAAAAAAAAAAAAAGGTGAGAGATTCAAAAAAAGAATAATTCTATTATTTAATTTTGTTCCTGATTTAATCTAACTCATCCTTCTGCTCCTCTTGCCTTTTGACCCCAGTATCAGCCATGCTAATGTTTAAAAATCAATCAAGATGCTGATCAAGTTATGCTGTGTTTTTTTTTAAATTCTTTTCTTTTTATGGAGGCCCGATTCATGGGGCCGAGAAAGAGTCATTTTCCCTTATTTTCAATAAACAAATTATTCCCTTTTGTTTTAAAATTTAACTATTTAGTTTCTTAACTGATGTAATATTATTTTAAACATATAACTTATTTTTCATATCAATCTCTCTACAATATCTATTTTTAAAAAATAAATAAATTAGCTTTTCGCCATCTACCATGAAGTCTGAAGCCAGTTTGGGACTGTGAAACTGTCCTAATCCCTCTTCTTTATGTTTCCCTGCCTAAAAAGAACCACCTTTCTCTCGCTCTGTCAAATATTAGTGCAACAGAAACTTAAGATTGTGAAAGTGGACATCACAAGGAAGTACATACTAGATAAGCTATGCAGCTCATGAAAAGCTTAAATACAAATATTGGAGAATTCATTTAGATATCATATTAGCTGTTCCAGTTTTTTGTCCAATAGATTACACTTGCAAAGACTTGAAAGAAAAGAAAACCTCAAAAAAACAAAGATGAGAAGGCCAAAAATAGAGAAAACCTAATTGCCTACTGAAGTACAAGTGCCTGATGTCACAACAAATTCCATATTAGAAAAGCTGAAGAGAGGTGGGGGAAAGCGGCTATCTGAATATTCTGTACAAATACAGATGGCCAGCACTAGCTCATTTGAGAGCAAGCAACTGATCCAACCCTGTTAGTCATGCCTTCCAACCATAACCCATGTTATCATCAAGGTCACTGTTAAAAAACCCATTTTCAGTGAACTCGTGGGCAATATCACTAACAATGTCGTCCTGCAGATGAAGATTGTGAGGCATATCTGGCACTTTCTGGTTAAACCCACTGTTGCCACCAGCTGCCGAAGAATCACTGTTTGCAGCAGCTTTGAAACTGTTGCTTCGGCTTGGAGCAGGTCCTCCAGCACTTACTGAAACAGTGGAAGCATTTGGAGGTGTTGCCAAATTGTTGCTTCCAAAACCCAATCCACTCCTAGCCATGCCACTGTTCCCGCTCTGTCCAGAGAGGGAATGTTGTTGGACTCCACCCCCACTGTTATTGGACATTTCCTGCAGCAGTTGGATCATCTGTGGTTGCAAGGCCGGGTTGCCTTGGGAGGACTGTGGAAGACTCTGCTGGAGTAAGCTATTAGAGCTCAATGAGCGCTGCTGCAGCTGATGGGGCTGTTGGGGAGGTAGATGTGGACTCGAAAAGCCACTCACAGGTAAGTTCTGCATGGATCCAGGTATGAAATTAGCAGCTCCTTGGAAGTTGGAGGATGGACTCTGATTAGAATTATTGAATGGTGAACCAGCCTCCTGTTGATGTGAACTGGAGTTTGAATTAATCGAGTTCTGCCTCATGAACAGATTCTGGTAGCTTGTTAACGCCAAAGCAGCCTGGGCTGAACCACTCAAAGCACCTCGACCAACCATTTGATGGTTGCTATTCACATGGTTGTTTATTCCAGGATGTAATGCCATTAGTTTATTGAGGGTGTTTCGATCAGTTGGCAGACCTTGAACACTTGCTAACTGCTCCATTTCCTGCATTTTCTGCATCTGGAGCTTAGCAGCGGTAGCATGCCGAGGATAACTTTTCAAGCCCTCTGCAGAAAAAGATTCACATAATCTCTCTATGCACATTATGACCAGAAAATGGTTTTCTCTAGTGCCAAAACAGACAAAAAGCTCCAATCTTTTCTTAGACTGCTACTGGGTATTAAAATTCCAAAGTAACTTTCTAGAAAATGGCAGGTCCGGAAATGAACCCATAATATATAGGTAAAAACAGATAATCATGCAGGAAGCTACAGGTGAACACACAAAATGTAGTAAAACCAGCCACAAAAGGAATTTACCAATAGGCCCAGCTTTTTGCTCCCGACAGAAGTCAATCAGATCCTTCATGCTGTTGACAACCTCAGAGATCTGTCATCAATTGGAGTAAAAATCACAAGACAGCATAGATCAAATTTTGCTATCAGTAAAGAAATTCAGATCCAGAAAGAGTGAAAGTTAAAAGTCATACCTGCAGACACCTGACATATCTTTTGGAAAAACCCAAATCGTTCAGCGATTGCAACTCTAAACTCTTCGCGAGCTGGCGACCAGCCGTCAGAACCCTTGAAAAAAAATAAACATTGTATTTAGTATTAACGGCTAATGTAGTTATAATCCAATCCAGTGCAAACCAAAATATAAATGCCATTTTTGACATACCTTCTGTTCAATTTCAGAATACGGAGTAAATGGAACTACCATAATGATGTATCCTTAACATTAAAGCTAATTCAAGATTTGAGACAAAGTGTTTTATGAATGTCATGCCCAAGGAGAGCTAGAAAAATTTATGCTCCCAAAATACTAAGATTCATGAGGACCACTGTGTAGAATGGTGACAGTCTCAGCTGCAAATTCTAGTCTACAAATTCAAATCTCGAGAGACTTCATCCAAAATGCTCAACGACATACCCAAATCCTCTGTCTACAACTTTCATTTCAGTAGGATCAACATAAGATACGTCAAGCAGTCAAGCCTCATTGTCTCACAAGGGACAGGGGGGCTGAGTTAGCAAAACAACTTAGCAAGTACGAATTTCTTATATCTACCACAACTAAAGGCACATGTCAAATGCTTTTTATTTCTGGAGATAAAGCCTCAAGATGGGATCTGTGTGGACCTAAGTCCATTAACATCAGAGTGACTTAGCTTTTTCAGTCAAAGAGCTTCAGCCAGAAATATTGCATTGGCAGCACCCAATTGCATTAGGAAAAAATTTAGTGAATGCTCATTTTACTTACATATTGCTGTTTGTTTGCAAATCCTGCTGAGAAACCCCTTCAGATCCACTTTCAGCAATTGTGGTCTGACATTTCTGCGCAACCTGGAGCAACTGATTCACCTGCAAAAGCACTCAGGTGTTGTAGTTAAAAATGTACCTAGAATCTTCAAAATCTGAAGAGGGCTCAAATCCCACTGATGACTGATGTCCAATCCAGTAATTGCTTCAGATTAAGAGTGTTCACAACCACACAATCCAATTAACAACCAAACAAAAAGACAAGACATAACTTGCCCACTACTTCTCTATTCATTTTCCTGTGCTTTTCTTTGGTGTGGTAAATGTGATGGATCATCTCTAGGAAGCATTGCTGAACGAAAACAAAAGAACTACTGGAACTTTTAGAGAACATAATGTTTCAAACAGGGTACCTGTGGTGCAACCACCCTCCGTGGAAGAAGTTCTTCATGACGCCGTGCACAAAATTCCCAAGACAATATCTAAAAGGAATAAACATACTCGCAAGTTAATTAAAAAGTTGGAAATTGCCAATACTTGTGTAGAACACAGTTATCCTACTGACCTTTAAGTCATGGGTAAATATAATACGAAGCTGACCCTCACGAACAACACGAAGTTGCTCATATACACTCTCTTGGACTGCTTTTGCATACTCCAGCATCATTATTCCAGAAGGCAATCTAAATTCACGTGGCATGTCCAAAAACAAAAGCTCATCAATGACACCACTTCCAAACTTGATTTCATTGAGTCTAGGGAGCACTTCGAAAGTTGCCTCTGCAAAACATACCCCATAACATGTGCATAGTTAAATTTCCAAAATAAACAAATCACAAGGATGCTCAAATTGCAGTAGTTATGTCTAAGTTGATTGTTGAACAGAAGCTAGATGGTAGAACAAGGAGTAGTTTTATGACTAACAAGAAATATGGAATCAACATGTTATCACGTTAACATTCCGAACAGAAAAACCTAGAGCCAAAGCATAAATTTTAGCTTCTCTTTTTTCTTTGTTTTGTGAGTAATGAGCTGCAGATGGTTCTTTGATGATGTTTATACTTTTTCCATCTACCAAAATACACATATTTAAATTTAATGGCCTCAAAAAGGGTGGCTTGAAGAGAGCACAACAAACTGCCATAAAAGTTCTTAAACAAGTCAACATTAAATAGGCAGAAAAAGTCTGAAGAAAAAAATAACCATCTATGAGAATTTAAACTGAGGGTTCATCTTGAACAGCCCACCTTAGCTATGCCCAAGGAAAATAAATTAACCAGCAAATGGAAGCACCCAGATAAATTCCATTCCTTTTTGTGACTGAGAATTCCTGTTACTATAGAAACTACACGAATGCACAAAAAACATACCAAGAGAAAATGACTAATGATGAAAATAAGAGCCAAAAGATGGAACTATCCAAAATGTTAGGGGAGACCAGAAACGATTGTTAAAAGTCAGGAAGGGCAAAAAAAAGACTTTTATCTGTCCAGCCATGTCCCAATTTTTTACCCCATGCGATAAAGTTTGGAGCCCATCCATGTATCCTGTCACGTCAACACAAGTACTTGATGACCGATGGGAATATGAATTCTCAATTTGCATGAGAAAAACAAGTGAAGTTAAGATTATTCCATTTGTTTGCAACAACACTTCAAAAGAAAAGCAATAGTTCCCCAAAAAGAAATTGAAGTTAAGATTTAACCTTGTCTCCTATATGCCTGTGTACATTAAACTGCATTGACTTCATAAAATCATGTTGGATCAACTCAAAGAGTGACCAGAGTTTGACCGTAAGTTCACTCAAGATACTCAAAATACAAAAAGTTTTGCACAAAATAAAAGCATTCTGTAAACTTATAAAGCTAGATTATTCTCTCTAACATGCAATCCCTACCAAAATCAAGTCAGTGATTTTCAATGTCATTCTTTACATGAAAAGGTTTTAAGAATTACATTATAGGAGCAATACTACAAAGCATCTAAATTCCCTTACCAAACCCTCTTCCAGACTTAGACCCACAAATGTCGCACTGCCATGCCTCCTGGAAGAAAAGGAAAAAAAAAAAAAAAACTGTTACATGCAGCTAATGCCAACCTAATATCCATAAAGAAAAAAGTAATTACTGAAGCTACTAAATTTATTGTTTTCTCTTAACCAACATCTGAAATCACCATGAAGAAATGGAAAACTAACAAGTGCAACAACAGAAAGAATAAAGAGGAATATATGAACTTGTATCAGTATGAAGTCCAATGACTTGTTAGGTAAAAATTAAATAGAAAAATCGTGATAACAAAAACGACAAAAAAAGAAGAAAGAAAAAGGAACAACTGACCATAGCTGCCTGGGGGAAAACACCAAGTGCATGATGCCCAACATTCTCATATAATGACAAGCACCACCTTTTCTTTGCACGAGGAGAATAGTACTCTCCCACAAATTTCCGCCAATATGCAAAAGTGTTCTCCTGTTAAAATAATAGAAGTCCGTGAGAAGAATAAAAACACATTTGCACTTCAGGAACTCCTTAATTAAAATTAATTTATATGTTGGGCCATAAGCATATGAGCATACATATTTACCCAGGAAAACAAGAATTAGTATGAAACAAGAACGCCCCACAAACTAATCTCGATAAAAAGACATATGCTACAGAGTTGCCAAACAAAGGCAAGAACTTACAGCAGGCCGTTGCCGCTGATGATATAGATATTGCATCAACCGACGAGCACAAATACCCCCATCAAAAGGACGCTTCAAGGCAGATGCTGGTTGCATGGCCTGTTGTTGCATTTGCTGCCTTAACTGCATCTGCTGCTGCTGCTGCTGCTGATGTAACTGGGCTCTCTGCAATGGTGGCATAGATTGGATAAGTTGATGTTGTTGCCTCAGTCTCTGTTGATGGATCAAGTTTTGTAGCTGCGGATTTCGGTTTTGCAACTGCATGGAGTCCTGTCTTTGCAGCAGTTGTTGGAACACCTGCTGCTGCTGCAGAACATCTTCCTGTTTGATATCCAATCTCGGCTTCTTTTGCACTTGCGATAGATTATTTGGGTCTTGAAGGAAGGATCCCTGACCTCGCGGACCCATGGAAAGTGACACTTGCCCAATTTGTGATGTGGGCAAGGACGTAGCACTTGAAGCCCCATGGTGTTGCTGCTGATTCTGTGGAACCTGCTGGACATTTCGATCCTGATGATTGCCCTGCTGCACCACAGAGGACCCATCAACAACTGACGAGCCTGAAATGCTTATATTATTGGATGAAAAAGACATGGGTGAAGCTGGCAATCGCATATATGACTCTGTATTGATGCTTGCACTTCTCTGCAAATGAGGACCTCCAGAAAGCGCCGAATTTGCATCTGTCACCAAAGAACTCGCCCCAACACTCGGTCCTGAGTTTGCCACACTGTTCAAAACCGCATTATTCATGTCCCCAGAAACCGGACCCAAATTGGGTCGCCCAGTTCCAGGAATCGAATTTGATGAGTTGCCAAATGATGAGCTCAAGTGAGAGTTAACTAAACCCTGGGACTGCCCATCCCCTTGGAAGAAAATTCCGGAACTTGAGGAAGATTGGGCTAAACCTCCAGCCACTCGAGAAGGTGCCATACCAGGCACCGACCCTTGGTAGCCAGAATCTAAGTAGCTCTCCAGAGCCAGGCCTGACCAATTTTTTCAGTACTAAATATCCTTAACCCCCCTCAGTAATAATAACATTAAAAAAACAAAACCCACATCAAAAAATTAAAACCCACAAAAGACTACACAATATAATCAACAATTCGCGCTTCACCAACCAAATTGAACCCAATATTTTTGTGATCTGTTTCAGCTTTCAACAATTTCTTGTAGAGATCTAAAACAAACAATATAACTCTACATCAGCACTAGCAAAAAACAATAAGAACTAAAACTTTCAATTAACATAATTCCAAGAACAAACTTATCTCCAAAAAACCCTAATTACCTCACAAAACCCCTAATTTTTAGATAAATTAGCAACAATTACAACACTAAGACCCAAAAAACCCCCCCAAATTTAATTATCTTTTAATCAACCCTCTTCAATTACAACTCAAAAAACCTCATTTCATAAATTATCCCCAAAAAAACCCTAGTTTTTTTGGAGCTGGTCTTTAGCTACAACTACTACACTACCTAACTAAAACCCAAAAAGACAGTAACTTCATCACTTAAAACCCTCATAATCACTAACCATATATTATTAACAACTAATCAAGCTTCACCACTACTTAATTACTCACAGTCAAAATCAAGAACTCAAAAAAATTCTTACTTTCATTAAAACCCACTTCTTAATTAACCTTAATTATCACTGAAAAATCAAAAGATCAAAAAAAGAAGAAACCCAAAAACACTTTGCTTTTAATAGCTCAAAATATCGATAAAAAAAAATTAACAAAATAATTTCTAAAACTTCAAGTAATATTTCCTTTTCCAGAAAAAAAATAATAAATAAATAAAAATATAATTTAGCTACTGACCTTTAAACGGCAGGCTGGATATAGCGAAACGCCGAACTTTTTTGGCTAACGCAGAAACGAAAAATCAAAGAGAGAGAGAACATAGAAGGGAAGGAGCTGATTATATATACCTAGCGGGAATTGAAGAGCAGGGAGTGACCGGATGTACTGGTAAATGATGTGTGTTGACTGGTTTTGCCGGTGAACAATGGACACGTGTTTCTTTTTGGAGTGGGGAAGGTAATCGGTGTTTAGATCGTGCGGTGGGGACGCGAGGTTGGGAATGATGTGGCGTGATTTTATTGGGTAGTCCTGGAGGTTGAACATCGTTTATGATGAGGATGTGGAGCCTTTTAGAAGGTCTCTTTGAGGCAAAATCTGGTGTGGTTGGATCATCAAGTTATAGGATTCATATTTCCATCATGCCATACATGTGTCGAATTTAAATTTGAAACATCATCTCCTCCCTTTTTTTTTTTTTTTCATTTTTTACCTCTTGTATATGTATTTTGTCATAAGATAATCTAAAACAAGATAATCTTGTCATAAGGAAATCTAAAACACGTGTTTAGGGTACATGCTAAAAGTCGTTAAATTATTAAGATTTATAGAATTCTCTAATACTATTATTTTATTATTCAACAAAAAAAATATTTCAAAATTAATTTAAATTAATTTACATATCAATTAAAATTAAATTATTTTTCTAATAATTTTTTTTAAATAAACTCCTTTAAATGCAAACAAGATAATCTTGTCATAAGGTAATCTAAAACAAGTGTTTAGGGTACATGATAAAAGTCATTAAATTATTAAGATTTATAGAATTCTCTAATACTATTATTTTATTATTCAATGAAAAAAATATTTTTAAATTAATTTACATATCAATTAAAATTAAATTATTTTTCTAACAATTTCTTTTAAAAATAAACTCCTTTAAATGCAAACCTCAAAATTCAAATTGAATGAATGAAGAAGGAAATTAAATCTCTAGAATTGTCTTTGATACTATCCGTTTTACAATGCACTCCCAAAATTTCAATATTAAAAAAAAAAAAACAATTATAATTAGGTTCAGCTAATATCTGGGAAATGGATGGATATATAGATAATTAAGTAATTGAAAGAACGTCATGAGTGACGTGGCACGAAATTGATTGGATGGTTGTAATCATAACTTTAAACACGAGGGTGTAGAATATCGGAGCTTTGATATTTACTCCGCACGGTTAACGGATGGAGATGGGCAGATTGGCACGTACGATCTAGCACGTGGGATATAAAAAGCAAGCAGATAATTCACGTTTAGTCCCCACTCCCTAATAATTTTTATTTCCATTTCAATCAACCCTTGAAAAGTTTGATTTTGCATATTTTAGCCTCTAACTATCCGAGTAAATTATAAATTGGTCCATGTAGTTTTAAAAAAATAAATTAATTGATTTATTTTGTTTCAAAACCTAATTATTTAATTTTTATATTTTAAAATTTTCTTGTAACTTAATTATTTTTTCTTTTTTTCAATGTACTTTGATTTTTTATCTTAAAAAATTGAAAAAGTAAGAAACATGTAAAAAAAGATAGAAGGATCGATGAAAAAAGATAATATTTTATGAAATAAATAATGTTAAATTAAACGTAATCGATACTGATTAAAAAATTAAATAATTAAATTTTGAAATAAAAATAATTAATTCATTCGTTTCTTAAAAATGAAGGGACTAATTTATAATTTCCTCAAATCGTCCTTGACGTGTAAGATTATAGTGCACAACCCACAAGAATGACAACAAATTATACCCGTTATGGATGCATATATAATCATTCTCCAATTAGTATTAAAGCAGGCACGCATCATCACTTGAATCAATCCATTAAATAAATTCTTTTCTTACAATTTTTTAAAAATTTCAAAATCTGAATAATAATTTATATAATACGTTCACTTATGAATAAAACTAAACCTTGAAAAATATTATTGTATATTGATATGTGTTAAATGCACACCAATAAAAATATATTTTTAGTAAGTAAATAAATAAATTAATAACACAAACTCACATGTTAAAGTTTTCAAGCATTATTGTTATTAAAGAAACACAAATCTTGTATTTAATTAAATTTGATTTCAAGAGGTAGCTTTGCTGGTCAAGAAAGTTTGTCCCCCCCCCCCCTTTACTTCTTAAGTTAAAAACTTTACTATCATGATCGATATCCAAAAAATTTAATCACTTGAATATATCATAAGATGTATTTTTTAATTCATTTCGAGAAAAAAATTAATCTTGATAAATACATAAACTAACTTAAGAATATTTTTTATTATTGGCAAAAAAAAGCTATACAATATTAACTAAATTAAGTAAATTATTTGGTAAAGTTTCAATTAACCTAAGATTAGATTTTCTTTAAATATATATTAAAGAAGGAGACGAACCGTTCTCAATTATTTATCCAACTAATTGATTAATATTAGAACTTTTTTTATATACATGTGGATAAGTTCCAATGGCGTCTTCGTTTAAAATAAGGGTTCATGCTACCTTCTTTTTTTTGCTTAAAAAAAAGTATACAATGCTACGATATTCTTTTTTCTTTATATGGTATCGAACTTTAAAACACTCAAAGGATGCCGTTGAACACATAATTAAATCCGACAAATAGTTTCCTTAAAGTGTGTTTTGTTCGGTTTGGGACATATCACGAGCCCAAAACAAATGCTTGCATCTTGACTACTTCATTACAGCCGTCGATTAGTTAGCTTTCACTGTAGTTCTAGAAGCACGGTTGCCCATGCAAAGAGATTTTCTTTTCTTTCGCAAAGTGATGTTTGTCCATAGAGGTGAGTGGGTTTCCTTTGAATTAAAGGGAACATTAGAAGAAAGAAACTCATTAGCAATTAGATTAGAATGTGAAATGGGGTTTAGTTGGAAAAATACTTCGTCTTAAATGATGTTAGTTTTCCACAAAATATTAAAAAATATATTTTTTTTATTTGAATTTTTTTAACGATATCTTAATAAATAATGATATGAAAATACAATAACAATAGGATGATGATTATTTATTAAAACCACGAAATGATAGTAGTGGTTGCAGTTTTGATGGTAGTGGTGATTGAATTGAAAGGAGAGACAGAGGTCGAAAAAAGATTAGATAATATCGATTAAATTTAAAATCAAATGGATAAAATTAAAAAATTTAGAACTCAAGTTGATAGATAACATAACAATAATTTTATCAATTTTCTATAAACATAATCCACAATAAACAATGTCATCTTTTTATTAACTCGTTGATCATATATAAAAAAAATTTGTTCCAAATCACACGTGTTTGTAAAATGTTTTCACCTTAAATGATAATTTTAGCTCCAAAGAATAATAATTTTCTTTTTTTATACAAGTCAATGAAGTGTAAGGAAAAAAATCATTATAATTTGAAGTTGAAATTGTCTTTTAGGATAAATTGGAATCCCAAGCTTTTTTTGACATCTTGAATATAAATACCTAATAAGCACATATAAATTCGATACAATTTTTTAATTGTCATTCAGGGTGGATGAATTGAGGAAAGATTAGATAATGTCGATTGCCTTTGAAGTGAAATTGATAAAATTAAAAGATTTAGAACTCAGATTGACAACCACATAACAAATCAGGGGCTAAATTGAGGTTTTCCTAAAACAATGATTACATGGTGGCTCGCATGGCCACATCATGAGTAATCACCGACCACGTTCCTCTATACTGTAACCAACACGTGCCATTATCTTTACCGGGAATAGCGGGTGATAACAGGGCCCCTTTGCGGTATGAGCATCCATAAGCCTACTCGTACTCCCTATCTTCTCTGGCTTCAGCTTTTCTAGACTTGACAATAAATTTTTTTTTTGCTTTAACCTTTTTTTTTAAGAAGATTTAATTAATTCAAGTAAGCTTATTAAGGTTGTTTTTTTTTTTTTTTTTTGGTAAGAGTGAAGATAAATATTAAAAATATTTTTAAAAACATCAGCTATAAAATTTATGGATTTAACAGTGAATCCATTATTAAAATCACGATTCAATAATTTATAATTTTTTTAATTTTTTTAAATTATTTATTGATCTTTTTTTTCTTTTTTTTCTTTTTTTTTTTCAAAATGACGACTGCTGGTTTATCGACAAGGCTCATCAACTTTCGTTAAAATTTCTATGAAATTATTTCGTGTCCTACAATTTAAGAATTTGATTAAAATATCAAAGAGGTCACTTTAAGAATGACAATTTAGCCGAGTAAATTATAAATTAAACTTTCTAGTTTTGAAAAAACAAATTAATTAGTTCTTTTTGTTTTATATATTTTTAAATTTTTTTAATATATTGTTCAAAAATATAAAATAATAAGTAAACAATATTAGAAGGATTGATGAAAAAAATAATATTTTTTAAAACATAATAATATTAAATTAAGTATAATTAATATTATCAAATGACTAAATAATTACTTTTTAAAATAAAAAACCTTAATTGGTTATTTTATTAAACAATTTAGGGACTAAATTATAATTTACTCCAGTTTAGCTAGATCCAACCAGTCTAAAAAAAATGGATTTTCACTGGACCGGTCGACCCAAGGGACAAAGGTGGTCTTTGCCAAGTCACAATATATTCTTTTAATTTTTAATTTTCTTATATGCGCTGTAAATTTTTTACTATATTTTACTTCAATTTGATAAGGAATTCATTTGATTCGATAATTTCTTATCATTTTAATTTTAATTATTTAGTTAGCATGTAAAAATTTATGAGTGGATTTGAATTTTATACTATATTTATGGATTTAGTCAGGAATTGTTTTTCTTGGAATTCATATATGAAGATTTATCAATTTTCAAATTTAATTTCTTTAAGACGTGATTTTATATAAACTATTTATGATGATTATTTTATTTTATTTTGCTGAAAAAATGGAATCAAATGCCCAACAAGTGACAAAATCATCCATCCGATCCGATTCAATCCAATCGAAATTCATCAAATGATGATTGTTCATATTTTAGATCTAAGATACATATACAAAGAAACTGCTATAAATATAATTTTAAATAACGATGATTATATGTTATTTAACAGAACTGGTTAAAATTGTTGTTATTTTCAATTCATATAAATATTGACAATTATAAAGTTAAATAATGGATGTTGTCGTGTTATTTGAGATTGTTATATTATTATTTTAAAAATAATTTTTGATTAGTTATTTTCTAATAAATTTATTAATAATCATTAATTTATTTATAATATGGATTTCAGTAGCTTTTATTTTACTATTATGATAATTATGATAAATTACCATAATCGATTCTATAACTGCGTTCTTAATTTAAACTATGATACCGAGCATGCTACTTTCCATTCTAAGATAAAAACTCAAACTTGATTTAAGGACGGATGAACAGAATTAGACCCGACCCAACTTCTTGGCGTTGCAAAAGAATTGGAAGGTAATCAACTAGGAATGGCGCAGCGATAAGTACTTGATATCAAGGGGTTTGCTTCTCCTGTTATCTTAGATTCGAGTCCTAATTATTTTTTATGGTGACTACCGAAAACTTATATGATCGTTAAATTCAGAGCTCATGAAATTAATCAAGTTGTGCGTTATAAAAAAAAAAAAGAATTGGAAGGGTCCAAAATTTACTTGGACTGAAAATGCATCTCTCTCCTTGAATAATAAACAAGAATCCCACATTTTCCGAACATCCAAACAAGAAAAAGAAAAAAATGAGCAGTCTTTCGATCCACCCACTAATTCGGTTAAAAACCCACCATCCATTTCGCGCCAAAAACACCAGAAAATCCACAGCCATTTATGCTTCCAGTGATAACCCTCAGAGCCAACGACAACAACAACTCAATCTCTCTGTTCTTCGCTTCACTTTAGGTAGGAAAAAGAAAAAGCAAAAAAACCTTTTTTTTAATGTATAGTGACTTTATCATTTGAATTATTTAACAAGAATCTTTTTCTTTTTAAGGGATACCTGGATTGGATGAATCTTACTTACCAAGATGGATTGGTTATGGGTTTGGTTCACTTTTGATATTGAACCATTTTGTGGGGTCTAATTCAGACACCACTCAAGCACAGCTGGTACTTAAAGACTGATTTTTTGTTTACTTTTGTTTTGGTTTCTTGGAATTATAAAACGTTTTTTTCTTCCTTTTCTGATTGGTTTTGCTTTTTGGGATTTTGGTGCAGAGAACTGAGGTTTTAGGCCTTTCTTTAGCTACTTTCTCTGTTGCACTTCCTTACTTTGGAAGGTTTCTCAAGGTAAAACATTTTAAAATTGTTTTGTTTAGTATGCATTGTTGTTGTTGTTGTTGTTGTCGTCAGTTTTTGGACATGAAGTGGTTTCTTTGGTTGATAAATTTCGTTTTTGGCCTTTAAAGACTAGATTTTTATGACCTTTGTAGATTCCGTGTGAATATATATGGCTATATGGCTAGTTACATAACGTGTTCTGTGACTTGTATAAACTCACATTGATTCATGCTCTCGGTTTCAACACCTTGATTAGCATTCTTCGAGTGGTAGTTTTGGTTTTTGCTATTTTACATTTTCATGCTTTTCAGTGACAGCTAATCTTTAATTAATGAATAGATTGTGAATAAAACGACCAAAGTTGTGGACCTTTTCTTTTTGTTATGTATTTTAAAAGTTTAATTTGCTGTCTTACACGAGATTTGTCTCGATGAGATGTGGAACTAATTCTTGTTGATTTTGCAGTTTTTTTAATGGTTTTGTGTTTTTGATTCCTGCTGGATGGTTGAGACTCTCTTTAACATGATGCCTTGCAAACTTTCACAGGGTGCTGCTCCAATCGATCAGGGGACTCTTCCTCAAGATGCTGAGCAAATTTTTGCGATGTCACAGAATATTTCTGATGCTCAGAAGGAGGATTTGGCTTGGGCAACATATATTTTACTGCGCAATACAAATTCAACAGCTGTGGTATGTTCCTCTAATTGTCAGATCAATAGTTGAGACTTGAGAGCTGCTACGTACCAGTCTCGTGTTGTTTATTAATTCTGAAAGACACATGATGAATTTTTTTGTCGTCAAGGTATTGACCAATTTTTATTCTTTCAATTTCTCAGTTGATATCAATTGAAGGTCAATTATGTGTTCGCGGATACTGGAAGACTCCAGATACAATGTCAAAAGATCAAGTGCTTGATTGGTTTAAGGGACAAATTGAAAATATTGGCTTGTCTGAGGTGAAGGACAGCCTCTATTTCCCTCAGACTACAGGTAAGATAATATTTGATCTTTGCTTTTGAGGGAGATCATATAGCATATACTAGAGTAGTTTATTCTACATAGAAAAGATTGTGTAAGAATGCAATAGCAGTTTGTTTACATATTGTGAAAAGGGTATTCAGAATTCTTCCTGCCTCCAAGCAACCTTCAGATGAAGAAGATTAGCAGATCAAGTTGAACTAGTCATTCCTAAGAGAAATAAACAAATGTTCTGAGTTGTAATTGTTCTTATTTCCTTGGTGGATGCAATGGTCTGTTTAGTTTCCACTTTTACTAGAGCTGTAAGCTCTGCTATGTGCGTGAACCACTTTGGTGTATCTAACATTCCATATTAAGGTTCATCTTCTGTTCTGTTTAGTTCTACTTTATCGATCAGTTTACGGTACCCATTAGCTACTCTCTTTTTTCTGGACCCACCCTGTGAAACTGAAATTTTGGAAGACGCCAGTGGCCTTTTGGGTTGGCTTTTCTGTCATGCTGCCAGCTACTTGGATTTGATTTAAGAAGTATAATAGAAGTCTACAAAATCCTGCTTTGAGAAAGGCAGCGGTTCTAGATATCTAATAATCTCTATAATATAAATGTGATCTACACAAAAGTAAACTAGAAGTCTTATGCAATTTTATTCTCTCATATGGACGAGGACAGATTCTAGGCTCTATAACCTTCTTTTCTCTGCCAAGATTAAGGTCTCTAATTTTCATCAGCTTTAGATATTCCTTTGGTTATTTTCTTCTTTTGCCTCCCTCTCCCTTCTCTTCATTCTTATATAGAATGGTGAAGACCTTTTTATGCCATGTGCACATCTTAAGTTTTGTTTTTGAGATGAATAATGATTTACAGATATTAGAAATGCTGCTGGCTTACATTCTAAAATTGGTTTATATGAGCTATGGTTCTTGTATGCTTTCTCTAATACGAAATAATGTGCTGGTTTGATGAATGTTTCAGAATCAGAAATTTGGGAGATGCTTCCCAAGGGAACTCGTTCATTACTAGTAGAGCCTGTGCTTCAAGCAACAGTCCAAAGCACTAATGTGACTGAAAAGAATGGAGGTTTTATTCTGTTGGCTTCAAGCATAAGGTATGCTTATAGTGATAAAGACAGAGCCTGGATAAGAGCAATTGAAAACAAATTTAGTAGTAAGAGCACATGTTCAGAATAATAACTAAATCTGTGACTCAATTTTTTTTGTACATTCAATCCTCTATTTTTAATGGAAAGTCTGCTTTAGTTCTTACATATCTCTGTGCATTTAAATGTCAATGCTTGGCTGTCTTGGTTCAATTGAAAATGATTCTCTGAGGTAATTTGCTGGCAGCAACTTTATACTCTTTTTTTATATTTCTGACTTATCTCACGAGCCAGTTTCGGAAAATGTGGCAATGATTTATTGCTATCACGTAGTCTAAACATGAATGAAGGATGATTAGTTTTAAGAACAACAATGGTTTCCACACATCCATAGATGACAAACCTTTCATACTTGAATCACAAGTTATGCCATTTATAGAGGAGAATTTGTTAACTAGTGAAGTCACTCCCAGGTTTTGCTTGTGAATAAACTAGTTTGAATTCTATAGATGATGAGTCTTTTCTTTCCTCAATGGATGGCAGACTATGACATGTCATTCTCATGAGTTTGGCGACAACGATTGAGGCTACTGATCATTAAAGAATGATTGTACCCTCAATTCTTCTTTTTTGAATGTTGTGTAAAGAGTTTATTTAATTTATGTAAGGGAAAAAAAGACCATATGATGGTATGTCTAACCAGGGAAAGAGAAGTTATAAGAGGAATAGTTGATTTTATTCAAATTTGGATGCAACTCAGAACACGAACAACCTCACAGTACCATTTTTAATCCAAAAAATATCAACTGCAAAGGAAAGAAAATTTTTGCCTTGAACTCCACCACTTCTCTCTCAATTAATTAACCACTCGGCACTTAAGTCTCACTTCTCCATTTTCGATCACCCCGACATTTCCAAGGTTTACCATTGAGGCTGCAAATTCTCTGAAGAACAAACTTTGATCCCTGGCAAATGATTCAACAATCCATCTTGTCCTGTAATCACCAAGCAGTGCTTGATCCGATCCAAAGACACCTTTCCCTTCCATAACTTTCTTGTAATAGTCATTATCGAAAGTCGAAGAGGTCGAGTCCAAGAATTCTCCTGCACTATGATCCCTGTTTGGTTTGGGGCATTTCCTTTTTAGATTCTCAGCGAACTGAGTGTTCATGCTGGGATCAATGTCATGAACTGAACTGAAGTTTTGAAGTCGAGCTTCAAAAGAAGAACAATGTGAGAACCCTAAAGTATGACCACCTGACAAAGCTACCAAGTCTTTAACCCCTAGACCTCTCTTAGCAAAGCTTTGAATTAGTTGCGTAACATTGAAGGTTGGAGCTGGTAAGTTAATTGTATCATTAGCTTTTGACACCCTTCCATCTTTTCTTCCTGTCAGCACATTCCAAGATGGTCCTCCAGACTGATGAAATTATCACAAGAGATGATATCAGAGGAAAACAAAACAATATTATGCCTTTTAAAGAAAAATTATTCTAAAAATTGTCTGTTTTTAATAATTTATTTATGGACATGTAGAAAAAAGTTGGAAGTGCTTGTTTTCTTGTTACCATGGTTACCACATCTCTTGCTGCTATGGCTATGATATCAGCACATGAAACTGTGTGTGGACAAGCCATTTCAAGCTTAGCTTTGGCATCATCGATCACGTAGAATGATCGAACTGAGACATTGGGAGGGCCATCTTTCTCTGCTTGGTTTCCGGGAGTAGAATCCAGCAAAATCGATGCATCACATCCCTGTATCAAGAAATATTCAAGTAAGATCATATACTATATACTGTTTTCTACATTTACTACTTGTTAAAGACTACTGTTCCTGCATTTGCTCGCTTGCTTACATGAGTTACATGTTCTAAGAGAGGAATTACATACCCTTATGAAGCAGTCGTGGAAGAACATCCTAAGGATACGAGCTGGGACTCTAGGATCATGCACGGAAGCATTATGAACTGTCTCTAAAATGATTTTCTCTGCTTGTGGACATGTTTGATCATAGTAATGAGCATTAAGTGCAGCTTTTGAAGGTGAAATCGAGATTAAGAGAAGGAAGCTAATTGCTAAAGACATTAAGTTTGATGCAAAAGTAGCCATATTTAGTCTTTAGATACGAAGGGTGGAAGAATGGATGCTTAATTATGATTCAAACATTCATGGAAGTAGGCATATATATATAGTTGTGAACAGAAACGAACACATAAACAACAAATTCATCTACCTTTCAAGTTACTCAATGGAAGAACAGAATGTGGAAAACAGGGGCAGATTTTGTTGTACTTTGAGACCAAGTATATCCACCTAATCTACTTTTCTTGTGCAATCAACACATAAACTAGCATTTCTATGTCATTTTAGCACCCATTGTTCAATCTCCCATACATTCCTTGTTAGCAAAGTTCAGATGTGAAAGAACAAAAGTTAGTAGTGATGTTTTTGTACCTGTTGTTGGGTTATACCTGTCAGGTTGGTTAATGCAAGGATGTACAGTTGTTAAAAGATGGAGTACGTTATTCATGTACTAGAATAAACAAGCTAAAAAAAGGGCTTAACATTTAAGAAAAGAATTGGGATTAATGGCTCAATATGTAATTATATAAGAAGATAATTTGCTTAAATTGAACTAATTTTATCTTTTAATTTGCTTAAATTGAACTAATTTTATCTTTTTAGATACGTTGAGTGTCTAATATATCATTATGACAAGATTTTTTTTTTAACCTATGAGAATCAATCACACGATTTTTATATATAAAAGCTTTTTATTTGACTAGTTTGTAAAGATATTTTGAAAATAATAAATATTTATGTGTAAATTAGGTAGATAATTCTAGCTTAAAAATCTTTGATAAAATAATAAATTGAAAACTTTACTTATATTAAAAGATAAAATAGAATTATTTAGAACATAGATTGAGGAGTTAACCCTAAGAATTGATTTTATAACTTTGCGACCAGCTGACCATCAACATCAAGTGAAAGAAGAGTTCAAAGGATTGTGTATCTATCTTGACTATAATAAAAAAGGGCTTCAACATTTCGCCAAGCTTCTTTTGTTGGGCTCTCTAGCTAAGCTCATTGCATAAAAGCCCAAGCAATTGGTTGTGTATATATTGGGCCTCCTTTTAGAGGGCCCATACGCGTTTGACTAGATGTATACAAAAGACGTAATGTCCTTTTATGAAAATATAAAAAGCAAACCTCTTCTAAATGTCAGGTTATTTGAAAATCAAAAAATAAATTTGTTTTTCATTTTAAAATATTTTTTAATTCCTTATCTTTTAACATTTAAAAGATAAAATGAAAGCATTTATACGATTCGTCATGTTTTTAGCATTGAGAAATTATACTTACAGTATATAATTAATTGATAAAAATTTAACAGAATGACTTAATTTTAAATAAAAAAAATAATTAAGAAGAGGTATAACTCGAAGTTGAAAGTTAAAAAATTAATTTCTAAATAAATTAAAATTTTGACAAGATTTGGATCTTTTGATAAAAATAAATTTGTTTTTCATTTTAAAATAATTTTTAATTCCTTATTTTTTAACATTTAAAATATAAAATGAAAGCATTTATACGATTCGTCATGTTTTTAGCATTGAGAAATTATACTTGCAGTGTATAATTGATAAAAATTTAGTGAAAATGACTTAATTTTAAATAAAAAAAAATAATTGAGAAGAGGTATAACTCGAAGTTGAAAGTTAAAAAATTAATTTCTAAATAAATTAAAATTTTGACAAGATTTGGATCTTTTGATAAAAATAAATTTGTTTTTCATTTTAAAATAATTTTTAATTCCTTATTTTTTAACATTTAAAATATAAAATGAAAGCATTTATACGATTCGTCATGTTTTTAGCATTGAGAAATTATACTTACAGTGTATAATTGATAAAAATTTAGTGAAAATGACTTAATTTTAAATAAAAAAATAATTGAGAAGAGGTATAACTCGATGTTGAAAGTTAAAAAACTAATTTCTAAATAAATTAAAATTTTGACAAGATTTGGATCTTTTGATAAAAATAAATTTGTTTTTCATTTTAAAATAATTTTTAATTCCTTATTTTTTAACATTTAAAATATAAAATGAAAGCATTTATACGATTCGTCATGTTTTTAGCATTGAGAAATTATACTTACAGTGTATAATTGATAAAAATTTAGTGAAAATGACTTAATTTTAAATAAAAAAATAATTGAGAAGAGGTATAACTCGATGTTGAAAGTTAAAAAACTAATTTCTAAATAAATTAAAATTTTAACGAGATTTGGATCTTTTGATAAAAATAAAATTAACAATATTGATGAATTATGATTTTTGTGACTCGAGGATGTCTTAACTAGAAGAATTCAAATAAAATGATTAAAACAACACAAACAATCATGAAACAGAAACCTTTTTTTGTTAGGGATACATCAAATTAAGAAAAAAACAACGACATCATAATCCATTTCCTCTAGCAGCATCTGGTCAACATCGACAAGCCAGTTTTCGAATAACTAATGGATAAAAAAGTTTTGAGTGCTGAATATTGTCTCTATGTCCTAATACAGTATATTTGACTAGAGAATCTTTACCTTGGATAACCTTACAGTCCACATGATCTATACAATACGGAGGTGCCAAACTTGGCAACATGTCAAGAGTCCAACTTAATATTAGCATTAAAGTGGATTCTTAAAAAATAAATTATAAATTAATCCTTTTTTTATCGGGAAATGAATTAATTAGTTCTTCTTATTTTAAAAAACTAACGAGTTAGTCCTTTGATTATATCAATAATTTAGTTCTTTTATCTTTTTTTTTTTTTGTTAAATTGGTGATTTTTTTTCAAATTATTCTTTCTTTGATATCTTATTTCTCTCCTCAACTAAAAATTAAAAGAAAGGTAACTTGAACCATCGAGGGGTGGCGCAACGGCAAGGACTTGGTATCAAGGGGTTTACTCCCCCGTGGTCTCGGGTTCGAGTCCCGATTGCTCCTCTTGGTGGCCACTTGGAGGCTTACATGGTCGTTAACTTCGTGGTCCGTGAGATTAATCGAGATACGCATAAATTGGTCCGGACACCCGTGTTATCAAAAAAAAAAAAATGTGTAACTTGAAAACAAAAATTACTAATTTAATAGAAAATTGATGAAAAAAATTAAGTTATTGATATAATTAAACAATGAAAGATTAAATAATTACTTTTTGAAAGAAAATAGACCAATTGATTTTTTTTATAAAAAAATAAAAAGGACTAATTTATAATTCATTCGTTCTTGGAAGAAGATATCTTCTCAATTTGAAATATGAACGTGACCCATGCCAAACCCTCCTCCAAAAATCAACACGTCTTTGAATCACAAATAGTAGTCTTGATGATGATGATTTGTGAAAAATTAAAGAATCCTCTTCCTTGATTAGCATATTCTACCCTTAATATTCCATTGCGAAGGTTTTACCAACAATATCATCTTTAGGTTAGTTGACTAGAATTTAGAAGCACACGTGCTAACCACTTCACTTAAAAAATAGCGTTGTATTTAGGTTCGATGTGATCTAGTGTTGCTTTAATTTAAAAAAATAATAAATTTAGTTTTAATTGAAACAAAATTAATATATATATATATATAAACATTAATATTTCTCATAATAATAATACGGTACATATATTTTTACAAAATTTAGCGTCCTTTCTCAATTTTATAGATTGATATTCTCATAAAATAGACTAAATTTTCAATTTATCCTTAAATCGAAAAATATTTTTAATTCATTCTTATTGTTGGATCTGATTTCTAATTTATCATTCTAGTCAAAATTTATAATTCATCATAAATTAATTTTTATATTAATAGATAAAAATTACTTACGTTAAAAATAAAGATAATTTTATGAAAATCATATATCATATTCAAATCACATATTTAATTTGATTAAAAATTTTAATAAAAAAATATTAAAAATCAATTTAAATAATAAAGATAGATTGAAAGTTTTTTTAAATTTAAGAACAGACGAAAATTTTAATTTATTATATAAAAATATATGAGAGTATTAACTCTAATTTTATTGTTCGAATCTTAAATAAGAAGTAATATGGATTGATACTCAATTCTTTTTATAATCGGGTCCAAACCGATTATTTAAATGGGTCATTAACTATAAAATCTAGGTGTCAACTAGTCCGGAACCATTCCCCAACGAGACCAAATAACCAATGACGCGTGCCGAGAGGGTCCAGCCTTTATGGGTCTGCCTAAAGGCTGGCCCTCATAAACGCCAAAATGGGACCACCAAAAGTCTCGAAACGAAGTGTGGACCCACCACTCCTAGGTACACGTGCCTTTTAGCACGTGAGAACAACTGTATGCCAATTTCTTATTGACCCACACGAATCAACGCCACGGACCCCCAAAAGCCAATGGGACCCACCTCGCACGTGCAAAACCAAATCTCACGTAACCTTCTCCGCTAGCCTATCTAAATTCTAAGACCCTGTTTGGTCCCCACAAAAAAAAAAAAATTGTTTTTTTGTTTCTATCTTTCGGAGCTTTTTCTTGTGTTAGATAAAAACTGTAAACGTTGTTTTGAAAGACATTTAAGCTTTTGAGGTTTTGAATGTTATGAAATTAAGATATATTATAATATATATATATTTTTTTTTACGAAAACAAAATAAAAATAAAAATATTCAAAAAGTAACTGTTCTTAAATCAATTTTGAAATAAAAACGCAAAAAGAAAAACCGATCCTAAGTCCCAAATTACACCCAGATTTATAAAAAAATAAAAAAAATTTCATTTAAATTATTTATTTATTTATTTCTCCCTTCTCTTTTTTAGTATCATAAAATTTATCTATCTCTACATAAATATTAATAGTCAATTCTTAAATATGAAAAATTACTTCTCAAATGCTTAAAATTTCTCTTTTTATTTTACAACCGAAACCGCTACAACTCCGGGTAGAGTTGCAAAAAACCACTTCTTTCTCAAACAGAGCTTAGGCCAACCAAAGGCTCTTCATGAAAGCAGACTTTCCAAAAAGAAAAGGAGAAACCAAACAAAAAAGAGAAGCACAAAGTAAAAAAGGGCTCAATATCCATAAAAACCAGAAAGATACCATGAACAAAACCAGAAAAAATTTAACCCTGTTCTTGTTCTTAAAACCTTGGAAAAAACAAAAAAACATAAGCTGATCACTAACACTAACACACTACCACTACTACCATTAACATTTTCTTAAGTTGATCCACCAAAGTAACCAAAGCAACCCAACCCCATCATCTAAAACTTCAAGATTCTGAACATGGTGCTTGTTGATGGTCATGATTAACAGGATGACCCAAAAATTGAAGCTCTTTCTTATCATAAATCTCCAAAGAAAAATCCCTTAACATTTGTGTGCCGCCACCACCACCACCACCACTATTACTAGCACTTGTAGTACTTGATCCTGAACTTGAAGAACTCATTGACCCAATGGTGTTAGAAGGTGGTGATCCACCTGACCCCAATGACTCACCACCAAAACCAACACCAGCGCCAACATTACCAGCCAGTTGGACCCCAGGTTGCATAGCAGAAACGAAGCTAGAAATAGGCCTAGCAGCCATGTTAAAAAATGGTGATGTACTGGTAGCAGGAAAAGCCCAAAATTGAGCTTGATTTGACCCACCACCAACACCAACGCTACTCCCTTGAGGAAACATAAAAGCACCCATTGGCCATAATGGCACCAAACCTTGTGTACTTGTCGGAGTAGCAATAGGAGCCAAACCTGAAGAAACTGAATTCTGATGAGCTGCTTCAGAAAGATCAACAAATTCACTATTACCAGGTCTCTTACGTTTTTTCTTAGGCGCCAAACCATCAGCATCACTGTCTGCTGTTGTTGTAGATGGTGATTCAGATGGGATTTTTAATGTTCCATTTACAGAAACAGCAATAGCAGGTACTGTGCCTGTACCCGTTGCTGCAATAATTGCTGGCTCTGCGTGTTCAAGCAACCATCTTATTGTTTCACCATCAGACCTGTGACCTAGCTCTCGAGTTAGCTGAAATATCCTGGCTGCACATGTTGCTGGCATCCGAACTCTCCGTCCTCGACCTTCTACCTTTGTGTGTCTATCTTTTGTGTTCCTTTTTGCTGCCATTACTACTTGTTGCTTCTGTTGTTGTCTTTGTACCTGATGTACAACAAGAGAAGAAGAAGAAGAACCGTCGTTGGTTCGTGTAATGTTCCTGTCGTGGTCCTCAAATTCTTGATTTTCTTCTGGGTCTGTTAAGGTTTCTTCTTTGAGTTGGAGTGTAGTGGGTTCTGGTTGGTGAGAAACATTTCCCGTGCTTATGCTTTGTTCTTGGTCTATTTCTTCAATGGTGTGGTGGTGGTGGTGGTTTTGTGAGTCCATGGTTTAACGAGAAATTGAAAATTTTGAGAAACACCCAGAAGAAATTAAGCAAGAACCAGAAAAGATTGATGAAAACCCAAGTATAATCAAGTGTAATTTCAGAGAAATTCTAGAGTTTCTTGAAACCCTAATCTCGACTGAAGAGGGGTTAAAGTAACTGAGGTTTTAAAAAAAATTAATATCTACATGCTGTGTGGAAGATTAGAAGACAAGGAGCAAGCAACAAAGATTTTCTTTTTCTTTTTTTTTTTTTTTTTTTTGGAGTGAAAAGAAAGGGAAAAAAAATGGAGAAAGGAACAGAGGAATCAGGAACCCTAGCCCCACTTATCTTGGTGGGAAAGGGACCCTCAAAATCAGTATTTATGTGACGAAGAAGAAGAATCAACGGAGGGGAAGATTTGGGATGGGGTAGGAGATTGTGACACGTGGTGGGACCTATCTTCGGATAAGATGGACTGGTTTGGTGTTTTTAAATTTGGTCGAGGTTGGTAAAGAATTAAAAATTGAGTAATGTTATTTTTATATAATTGTTTTACAGAATTTATTTATTGAAACAATATCAATTATTCTGGGTATTAAATAATCACTGTTTAAATATAGTTGAGAATTGCTTTGAAGATTCAATTAAGAAAAGAAATACTTTAGACACTAGATTGAAATTGATAGTATAATTGAAGGACTATTTGAGGTTTGTCAAATTAAAATTATGTGGCATGAAAGTGAATTATAGCCTAGTTTTTGTCTGCAACAAAAATTAATGGAAAAGTTAGTCCCAACTCAATATTTCACTTAAAAAAAAAATAAGGGACCAAGCTATTAATTTGGTGGTTAAGGATTTTTTATTTTTTTTGAATTTTTTAAGTTTAAATTTTAGAAACAGCATCCAGGCAAATTTATTTAATTTCTTTGAATACATCAATGTGAAAAATATTTTTTTAAATTGTTCAAAAATAGATTTATTTTGATTGATTTATAAAATGATTTGAGAATATCTTTGAATGCATCTAGTCAATCTGAAAAGTTCTTTCTTAAAATCGTTTGAAAATGGATTTATTTTGATTGATTTACAAGCTGATTTGAAAAATCTTATTGTCGAATAAATATATGAGAATATAGAAATTAATTAGTTGTTTTTAAACTAAAGGGACTCGATTATTTTTTTCTTAAAAATATAGGAACTAAGTTATAATTTACTCCAAGTAAAAGGAAGAAGATCGACCTTGCAACATTTTGAATTGCAATTTTGCAGCTATGGACTATAGTCACTGCTCTCTTCACCAAGTTCAAGTAACTTCAGCTTTAGTGCCATTTGTAGACTTTGCAAAAATCAATGGCTCTTAATAGAGCAGCCAAGGAGGCTGTTTCTTCGTTCCTCTATGCGAAGCATAAAATTATCAAGGACTAATACCATGAGCAAGATTAAGCATTCTCCGAAATGGGTTCTTTTAGACAGCATTCAAAGATGCGAAAAAGTTGAAAACTTTAAGAAAATTCATGCTTAGTTAATGATTTCAGGGATTGTCTCCGACGACTGAATTGTCAACACGGTTGTAGAGTTCTTTGCAGAAGCTCCCAAGCTTGAACAGAACCGGATTTTATTAACAATGAGAGGAGAAAGATGCTAACAACACACAAAAATATAAGACGACCTTGCATCTTCTTGCCTGAACCCCAGGTTGGATGAAATTTTTCGTATATTCTCTAAGCTCCATTCATCATGGATAGAGGGACAAGTGGATGAACCAGGACCCATTTTCAACCGATCCCTCCATCCGGCCAAATGCTACCTGAGCCGATCTAAGTTCAGTTTTTCGTCACCCTGAGAGCTAGATCCTTGTGGTTTGAGGATTGAGTCACATGCTTGTAGTTTGAAAATAGCCAATTCGTTCTTTCACATTTGAATTTGGTGACACTGTCCATCCTTTTGTCTTCCATGATCTCTAATTTACCGTCATTTTCGATTTAATGGATATTGTAGAATACGTGTTACTTACTCATTGGTTGATGGGTTGACCATTGACTTCTGGGTCCCACTTTCATATTCCATTTAAAAAAAAAATTTATAAATATCATCAATTAAAAAAAATTTGAAAGGAAGGAAAAAAATCAAACAAAATGAAATAATCCAAGACTATATATAACAGCACAAATTATTTAAATTTTTTTATTAACTATTATATACTTTATACAATACTAACATTATAACGCTGCCAATGCTAATAAGTAAATCCACTGCATATTTAATTAGGAAAAGACCAATATTTTGATAAAATTCTTTTTAAAATAATAATAATATTAATTCACTAAGAGATAGCCTATTTTTTAATTTAAAAATAATCCAAAAATATAGGTTATCTAGTTGTATTTTATTCTGACTATAGAACTCTAAAAAGGATTAGAAACAAACCAACAAGAGACATAAAATTTTAAAATAATTAAATTACATCAAAATTCACCAAATTATTAAATTGAATGTTAGTTAATTTCTCATAGGTTGTATTTTATTATTCTCTTATTTTATTTTTTCACTCTTCTAAACAAACAATTATAATATTACAAAAGGGAAGATTTATTTAAAAAAGGATTTATAAATTTTTTATTAATGTATGCAATTTTAATTTATTTCATGTCGCATATAGTTGAAAAGCATTGTTTTAAATGGAAAAGGTTCCTTGCCATGATTGTTAAGTGAATTTTTTTAATAATTATCAATTTTAAGAGTTACGTATATGTATCCTAGCTATTAATTATTTTGAAAGATAATTTAACGTATGTTCTAATTTTTGTTTAAGTCCACTTAAAAAATTTATGGTTCAAAAGTTAAATAATTTAATTTAATTTAATTATAATTATCAAATTATGAATATTTATTCAAAAATTATTTGAATAACGAACATGTTTATTCAGTAAGCATTCAAATTTCTTCATTTATAAATAATTCTAACCAATCTATTGGAAAATTAAAGAACAATAATATAAGTTAGTTAAATAATTCAGATCCAAAAAATGCGTTAAGAAACTAGTTTTTTTTATTTAAAAAGAAGAAATAAAAAAATTTTAAGACGCGTCTCTCGTATATATATATATTTTTTTCAAAAAGAAGAAAAACAAGTGGAATCAAAATTCAACAATCAATTTATTGGCCAATGAGTGAATGACACGGGTCTTAAAAGGGTTTAGATTGATGAAGATGATGGACCACAGCATGAATGGTAAAACCATATTCTTTTGTTTATTCAAACCATAGACTTTTGCTTACATTTTCATACTAACAATTTTTAAACTACAATGGATGGTAATCATGAATCTTTTTAATTACTTTTCATACATCACCTTTGAAACTAAACTGAAAAAAAAAAAAAAAATCAAAAAATGAATATAAAATTACAACAAGAATAAATGAAGGTAAAATTGCAACAACAAATACCATGATTGCTTAATCAATTGTCAAAATTATTTTGTTCCGTGAGTTCTTCATAATTACTTTGTCAATTTTTTTGTATCGATCTTCATAACTCAAATCTGGATAAAAAAAAAAAAAACTATGTTAAAGAATATAGAATCAAAACTCAGGCCAATTTTTATTAAACAATCTTACAACATCACAATAATAATAATAATAATAATAATAATAATAATAATAATAATTTCAAGGTAGAAAAAAATAAAATATTGGCTAAACTTAACATACAAGCACAATCTTAATTAGATTAAACATAAACAATTTTAATAAAATAAAAACACAAGTAGAGAATTAATTATTATTGAATAGGGATTTTGTCTTATGGAGAGGTTTTTTAGTGTATTGTTTTTTTATTCACATGAAATAGATTATATTTTTATGTGAGTGAGCAAGTAATATATTAAAAATATCTAATAATCTGTGTTCTAGGTAAATTTACAAGCCTTAACTTAAAACAATTTAATATATTCATTTTCCATCATCATTATGGTTGATTTACCATCCAAATCATTGTTGTGCTACCAATTATAAGATTTATTTTTGGAAATTTAGGGATTTAGTAAATTAAGAAGAAAGTTAGAGATTGAGAGATAGAGAATTATTAGACGAGAAAGAGTAAGTAATTGTGATTAAAAAAAAAAAAGGAGAAAACGAGAGAAACGAAAAGAAAAATTGAGTTGTTAAATTCACTAGTCATCAATTAGCTTAATATAGATATGATTATTCAAAATTGTAGTACAAACGAGTCATATACAATTCACGTGATATAATTCAATATATTTGAATAAGTTTTATGCTTATCAATCATATTCAAGTTCACTAATCTTTCCCCATAATTTAGATATTACCTTGGAATTAGTTTGAAAAATAGTTTTCTCCAATATCTAGCATTTTTGAAAATCAGCTTCAAGTTTCGAAACTTATGTTTTTTTTGAAGGATTTTAATTTTTTTTTAAAAAAAACATTAAAAGCTAAAGTAATAGAGATTAGTAAATAGATTCCTTTATAAGATCAAAATTGGTCAAAAAAAAAAAAAAAAGAAGTGAAGTTGTGTACATAAATCATATAACTAATATTTTCCCATAATTTAGATATTACCTTGGAATTAGTTTGAAAAATAGTTTTCTCCAATATCTAGCATTTTTGAAAAATCAGCTTCGAGTTTTGAATCTTTTGTTTTTTTTTTTTTTTGAAGGGTTTTAATTTTTTTTTTTTTAATAAAAAGCATTAGAAGCTAAAGCAATAGAGATTAGTAAATGGATTCCTTTGTAAAATCAAAATTGGTCAAAAGAAAAAAAAATAAAAAGTGAATTTGTGCACATAAATCATATAACTATTATGATTTTTTAAAAAACAAAATATAACAATTGTGATTAAGTCATGCAAGAATGCTCACTATGTTTTGTGATATAAACTTAGAAAAGCCAACGCGGGATACATGAAAAAACATAATGGTTATATTGGAATTGAGAAATTTCAAGTTTGGTTATATTGGAATTGAGAAATTTCAAGTTTTTTCTCCCACCTTGTTACCGACTAGAGTTTATCACGTTTGCTTACGTGGTACATTATGATTTAAAATAATAACAACATAAGAATAGAATTTTTAAATTAGATAGAAAAAAATTAGAATTTCAATAAAAAAATTTGAATTATACAAAATCTCGATATGAGTAAAATTCAAATACTACTTATTCCATAAATGCTTTTTACTTGATTTTCGATTTAATTGAATTATCAAGGTTAAAAAAGATCGCTCACTTTCTTGACTTTTTGGATTCAAATTTTGAGATTAATATCCATGTAAATTTATTTAATTTTTCTAAATACAACGAGTTTATAAAACACCCTTACATGGTCCAAAGAGAGATTTAATTCTGATTAATGTCTAAATTATTCAGATTATATTTTTATTATCCAAAAAAAGCAAGGGAGAGACAGAGAGAGATAATTTGAACTCAAAAGCTTTTTTAACAAATAAAAAAAAATAATACTAGACTATAAAATTCAGCAGCTAAATCAAATAACTTTGCCAACTGAATTTATTAGCAAATTGAGTTTCTATTAATAATTTTGTGTTGAGCTCAAGTTATTTTTAATGAAAAACAAAGTTGGCCAAAAAACATTCAATACTTCTAAATAATTTCAACAAAAATATATATATATATATCTGAAGGGGTATGAAATTTCACATTAAAATCCTGCGATGATTTTAGATGGAAAAATATAATCGAGAATTTCTAAACTTTTTTGGATTTAATTAAGAAAAAAGGAACTAAATTGAAATTTAATATTAAAGGACTAATTTGAGATTTGCCAAAAACATTGGCCCTTCAACATTTTGAATTGCAAAATGCAACCACAAAGACAAGGCAAGTCACTGCTTTTCTAATCTTGTACCTGTAATTCCAATTTCAGTGTCCTTTGTACATGTTCACTGCAATATTTTCACTTGCAAATATCAATGACTTAAAACAGGGCAGCTAAGGAGTAAGGAGGCTGTTTGTTTCATTCTTTTTGCTTCACAAAGAAGAATTATTTATCAACAAGTAATAATATGAGCACGGTTAATCATTCTCTGAAATGGGTTATTTTAGACAGCATTCAAAAATGCAAAAAGTTGGAAACTTTCAAGAAAATCCATGCACATTTGATAACATCAGGGGTTGTCTCTAACCACTTAGTCGTCAACAGGGTTGTTGAGTTTTTTGCAAAAGGAGGCAACTTTGCTGATTATGCATGTGATTTTTTGAGTCACTGTGATTGGAAAGTAAGCTCCTTTCCATATAATTCATTGGTTTCTGGTTATGCTATTTGTGATAGGCCCAAGACTGCAATTTTGGTTTATAGAAGGATTGTGAAAGATGGGTTTTTGCCTGACATGTTTACTTTTCCTGCTGTTTTGAAATCATGTGCTAAGTTTGTGGGGTTTGGTGAGGGTAGGCAGGTTCATGGGGTGATTGTTAAGATGGGTTTTGCGAGTTGTATCTATGTTGAAAATTCTCTTGTTCATTTTTATAGTGTTTGTGGGAGTTTTGGTGATGCTAGCAGAGTGTTTGATGAGATGCTTGTGAGAGATGTGGTATCTTGGACTGGTGTTATTTCTGGGTATGTGAGAGCAGGCTTCTTTGATGAGGCCGTAGGTTTGTTTTTGAGGATGGATGTTGAGCCAAATGGTGCAACTTTTGTTAGTGCGTTAGTTGCTTGTGGGAGAAAGGGGTATTTGAGTGTAGGGAAGGGGATTCATGGCTTGGTTATTAAGCGAGCGTTTGGAGTAGGTTTGGAAGTTAACAATGTTCTCATGGATATGTATGTGAAGTGCGAGTCTTTGCCTGATGCGAAACAAGTATTCGATGAGCTTGCTGAGAAGGACATTGTTTCTTGGACCAGTATTATTAGTGGATTGGTGCAATCCAAATGTCCCAAGGAGGCTTTGGAGTTGTTTTGTGATATGCAAAGCTCTGTTATTGAGCCTGATGGGATTATACTTACCAGTGTGCTTTCAGCCTGTGCCAGTCTTGGAGCTCTTGATTATGGCAGATGGGTTCATGAGTATATTGACCGTAAGGCCATCAAATGGGACATTCAAATTGGAACTGCTATGCTTGACATGTATGCAAAGTGTGGCTGTATAGAGATGGCAACGCAGATCTTCAATGGAATGCCTCATAAGAATGTTTTGACATGGAATGCATTGCTGAATGGCTTTGCTATGCATGGTCATGGCCAGAAGGTGCTTAAACTTTTCGAAGAGATGAGAAGGGTAGGCATGAAGCCAAATGAGGTGACATTTCTAGCCATTTTGACAGCCTGCTGCCACTGTGGCTTGGTCAATGAAGGGCGTCAGTACTTTCATTGGATGAAAAGTCAGCAATATAATCTTCCTCCGAGGTTAGAACACTACGGATGCATGGTGGACTTGCTTTGTAGGGCTGGACTCTTGGATGAGGCATTAGAATTGACAAAGGCTATGGACATGCCACCTGATGTTCGGATAATGGGAGCTCTTCTTAGTGCTTGCAAGGCAAATGGAAATGTGGAACTCCCCCAAGAAATGTTAGACCACCTTGTAGAGTTTGACTCTCATGATAGTGGGGTTTATGTGCTCCTCTCTAATATACATGCTATCAATCAAAGATGGGCTGATGTAACAAGAATAAGGAGATTGATGAAGGAGAAAGGTATCAAAAAACCCCCTGGGTTAAGTGTTATAGAGGTGGATGGCAAGGCTCATGAATTTATTGTTGGAGGTACAAGACATCCTCAAGACAAGCACATTCGTTTACTGTTAAAATTCCTGTCAGATCAAATCTTTCCTGAAGAACATCTTGAACAGCCATTCTTGATATAATCATTTTTGTGGTAAGTGCTCTTTTCATGTCTTTTTTGGTTCAAATTCTCACAACTGATGCATTGATATTTATGCTTTCTTAATAGCACTGCTAAACTTGTATTAAGGGACATTGTAACTGTGATCATGGTTTATATTTCTTGTATTTAATTGTACAGCGGAAGAGCAAGGTGTTTTCCCTAATATCTAGCAGCACAAATTTTGTGGCATTCTTTAATTTTAAGATGATAAATCCTCCAAGAAAGGGGAAAAGAAAAGGACTGAGCTTAATAGAACTGTGGATTTGAATGCTGTGTTGGATGATAAATATGTCAAATTATGGTTACAGGTTATTGAAATTCTGTTAACAGTAAAAGGCCTAACGTTCCCAACACCCCCCCCTCCCCCCAACACCCAACTCGTGTTATGTGTGATCCACCTCCTACTGTGTATGGTGAAGGAGCTGAAATAGCCATGATGAATGATCTTAAAAAGTTGGTTCATATTGGTATTCTCTCACTCAGTATTGGAATCTGTAAAAAATGGAGCAATTACTGAAGCAGCTTTAATAAAAGAAGTCTGAAATATTATATTCTCAGCATGTTGCCATGATCCAACACATTATTGACAACAGGCTCTTTGCATGCTTCCAAGTCAGAGTTTAAATATTTGCTTACTAGGCTTGCATAACATATCTTTATTAGGCTCGTATATAACTGTTGTCGATGAAGTTTTCCATTTTGATTCTTGGGTTTGATATAAGCATTATTTTTGAACTTGCAACCCATAGTTGTTTCTCAGCTTTTGCATGTCCGATCGATAGATTAAGCTTTCATTCTCTCATTGAACTGACAACTTCCACGGCAGGTTTGGACAAAATGTTTGGTATTCTAATTGTTTATGTGAATTCCCCATTTCTCTATGTTCTGTTGAGAGACTTGGAAAACCTTAAGTACTCTCCTTGTTTCCTATTTGTTATAAATTTATCAAAGATTGAGAACGCCAAATAAAATTCCAGATCAGCATGAACCATGGTAAGATGAGTAAATTTTATAATTTAACTGGTAATTCCTTGAGGCCATGTTTTGCCTATTCCATATTATCGTAACAATTAATTTTGTTACTATTATTATTTCCTGTCCACGAGACTTTGCATTTCTTTCTTTTCAAATGATTGCACAGGGAATAAAAAGTGGCTAACTTGCTAGAGTGATGCTGAACTAGAAGGAATGATGTGACGTTTAGCGGACATTATCTGAGTGAATGGCTGTGGATGGTAATATATTTGCTCTAACTCATCACTTACAATTGGGTACCTTGTTTTTTGGTTCTGAAATTTTCAAAGTTTGCTGAATTGTAATCCAACAATAAGATTGGTTACTTGTACACATGCTTCTAGCTGATATGAGAACTTTGAAATCGCAATCCTTGCAGGATGGAGATATTTAAGAAAATTGAAAGAGCTTGCTTTGTCCCTTATCTAGTAAACCATTGATTAATTGGTAGTCAGCATCAACGTTGTAACTTTCATCGTGTGCACGACGGATTGAGGCTCTTTTTTGAATAGCCAGTTTCGTCCATTCACGAACATTTGAACCAGATTAGTGTTTTGTGGGTCATTTTCATTTACTGAGGGAAAAAAAAAAAACAGAACATCATCTTTCTCTTTTTGTAAATGCCATTTGTTTTTTCATTGGATAACCTAGTTGGAACTGTTCATAGGATGTGAGCCTCTAAACAATGTCATCAATTCGAGTATAATTGGCATCCCATTTCATGATATAACCTGCTAGATTACCGCTTTTCGGTCATTGTATGGTTGTTCTTCTACTAAAATATTTGCAACACATGCTATTGCGAACAGTCTAAAATGGTATAGAGAAGATCATGAACTGACTGCAAAGCTTTGAAATTAATAACTGAAAGTATAACTTGGGTTACCTCTCTTTTCTCTTGGTAATTCCCTTTCGTATGCATATACAATTTACCTGATTGCATACTGCATATCTTAATTAGTGAATTCCATAATCAGAGAGTAAAGTGGTGAATCTCTGTTTAAACTTCAACGGTTTTCTGGTTTAGAGCTGTATATCTCCACTTTGCTTTCTCCACAAAGTCGGCATCCAGGAATTGAGCTATGAAAGCCCAAAACCTGTAAGTGTCCTCAAAATTGGCCAGGACCCCAAGTGCAACTGTAACAACTCTTATTCCAAGATCAGTTTTCTCTTTCCTCTTGTTTGTTACAACTCCCTTTGCCCCATTTACCCTCTTCTCTAGAACAGTTGCCTTTTCTTCTTCATACTTGTCTGAGAATGAAATATGATGTAAGAAGCCGTAGCTAAGAGATATATTGCTTCGATCAGCTAGTTTTTGTACAAGAGGAGCCTCAACCTTTTCTCCTTTCCAGTCAAACAAATTGAAGGCTAATGCAGGTCCTCTATCAAACTTTACCCGTGGACCATATATTCTAACAAGGGGAATTTCCTCTGTGTTTGGATGCTTGAGTTTGAACAAAGCATTTACCAGCCAATTTATAAGGCACCTTGCTCTGTTATTTATCCGTGTCAGTCCCAATGAATCGACCTGATCCAAGCCCCTGCATTCAATTTCCAAGATCCCATTTTCTCTGTTTTTTCCATTTTCTTGTTGCATTTCTTCAGCAGGCTTCCCTGATTCAGCAATCTCTGAAGTGTTTGATGCTTTCTGTTTCGCAGTTGTTCCTGTAGTTTGAGACTCAGAAGTTTCTCCTTGTTCTCTTCCAGAAAGCATTGTCTGGCTGGATATAGGGCCTGAGAAAGAGTTTGAAGAGTCTAATTCAGCTTCTTGTAATTCCAACTTGGATAGATGTTCAAAATCTGTATCAGTACCAGAAGATTCATCCAGTAATCGAAACAGCTTCTTTGCTGGGACAAGACTTACCATTCCAGCACTTACAGAATCTTCTAGGGGGGAACAGTAGATTTCTTGATAAAGAGACATCCAAATCCAGATGGGTTTTCCCCAAAAATCTTGTAGAAGGAACAAATGAGGAAGTCTGGGCGAATAAGAGATAGGCCGAAGCTGTCCATGTCTTTTGGTCCCAACGCACAAGCATCAATCAAGATGTGCCAGCCATTCTCCTTTGCTATGCTCATCCATAAATAAGGATATCTGGCTCCAGTCATTCTAGAATGAAGCGGGAAGACAAATAGTCCTGTCTTCTTCTTCTTTTTGCCTTTCCTCTCAACCATTTTCCTCAATTTTGCTGACTGAATCCTTAGCCTGGGCCATGAGAACTCTGCTGACTCAACCTGGGCTCCTTTCTTCTCAGAGCTATTAATCATGGCTTCCACTGCCTCACTCTCATAGTCATAAACAGTCAGAAGCTTTCGGTTAGTCTTGAAAGGGTAAGACTCTGCTAGAAGTTTGAAAGCTGATGTTCTGTTTGCAGTGAAGACCATAGAGTAATCATTTTCAGATATATTAAGAAAACTCATGATTCTTTTCTTCATTGCAGATTCTAGGGCTGATTCTTGGCCTCCATGAAGTAGCTGCGTCTTTAAATTCCCTGTCTTGTAGGACACACTGAAGAAGGGAATATGCATATTTTGAGGAGAAGCAGTAGAAGGGAGAATTTGTTTTTCCGAGTCATGTTTTTGTAGCTGAGCATAGGAGAACAGGCCTATGCCAATGTAATCAAGGCAGGCGTGGTTGGAGAGTGCGAGATGATTGTATTCTTGGGCTCTTATTTGGTCAACTTGGTAGGTATCTAAATATTGTGGATACACTTTGATGAGTCCATTGAATGATTCTTGCAAAGAAGGGAGAGACTCAGGATTTGTGAAATGGATATTTGGGAAGATAGAGGAAGTAGTCGTCGTAGCAAAGTTCTGGCGACATGTTGCCGTTGTGCTTCTAGGCTTGCTGTTTTTGTTTAGAGGCTCAGAAAAGCCAAGGATGGGGCTTGGACAGCAGCCACTAAGGCATACTTGAGAGGCTTCTTCTAAACAACGGGGCTGCATCTTTTCTCTACTATGTCCTCTCAGCACTACTGCTACTTTCTGATCTTCTCCTGCTCTCTGCTCACTCTCTTGTTGGTTTGTGAGTTTCTCTGCAATCAGCTTTGAAGGTTAGTTTATAAGAAGATTTTATCGTTTCTTTACATTACCTTAGAGGTTTTAGCTTTATTGACAGGGACAGGATGTTTCATTTATCGTCGTATGTATGAGAACATTGAACGAGTCAGATCTTGAAGCTGTCCATGACTCACATTTTTTACAAAGTTGACCATGCTTTAGCTTTTTAACATGCCAATGCCATCTGTATTTATTATTAGCCATCTTGATGTGTGCTTCTAACCATCACCTTATACATTATCATTGGAAGATCAATCAGAACCACACAACGATTAGAACCTTTGTCATTACCTAAAAATCATCTAGGTATGCCTTCCTTGTCCACTGCAAATCAATGTATTGAACCTGCCATATTTTTTTTAATCGTCCGCGATTTAAAACTATGAGTCACCCATTCATGCAAGACTGGTGCTGATTAGGCATGACAGTGCCATAAAATTACTTTCGTTGTCTTTCTGAGTAGAAACATCAACATTTGTGGTCTTGCAAGTTGAATCATGCCATTTAATTACAATTTTTTTTTTTTTTGTCTTAAAACTGTCTTTCAACGTGTTCTTCATAGAAAGGTAGGAAGTGGGAACTTGGAAGCAACAAACGTAAGTGGATGACAAAACTGCTTTTTTCTTTATTGGTTGCATCAATCATGGCTGAAAAAGCTTCTTCGGTTTGCTTGTCAAGTGATTGCTTCATGTTTAAGGCTAGGATTTGTCGAAAGATTTCTTCTTCAGCTAAAGCGTGATGAGCTGTGTCCATTAAATGTGTGTCAGTTGTCCTTGCCAATGATTGCAATCCTTGGTTGCTTTAGCTTGGAGTAAATTATAAATTAGTCCCTCTAATTTGAAAAAACGAATTAATTAGTCATCTTTGTATCAAATAGTTTTTTCCCGTTAAATTTTTACTAGATTTAGCAAATTAACACTCAATGCTTAAAATATTTTTTAACATATCCATACATGGAGGTATGTTTTAGTGCTTGAAGAGAGAGAAAAAAAGTGAAGATTAATAAAATAAAAAATGTAGATTTGAGAAGAAAAATAAAGATTTATTTTGGTGCTTAGAGAGAGAGAGAGAGAGAGAGAGAGAGAGAGAGAGAGAGAAGGGTGATTGAGAAAAATAATATATAAAAAGGTAATTTGAGAATAAAAAATACTATATTAAGGATATTTTATTACTCATTTAACGAAAAACTGATGAAATAATTAAGTTATTGACGATATTAAAATATAAAAAATTAAAAAATTAATTTTTTAAATAAAAGGGATTAATTATTTTATTTCTCGAAAGGAGAGAAAATCATTTATAATTTACTGCTTTATGTGGTCCAAGTTTTGTTTTGTCGTAGTTTTTTCCCTTTTCTTTGGAGTGTTGCATGCTTCTTCTTCTTCTTCTTTTAAGAAATCGAATAATTAATTTTTAAAATAGAAGGTATTAATTATTTTATTTCTCGAAAGGAGAGAAAATCATTTATAACTTACTGCTTTATGTGGTCCAAGTTTTTTTTTTCCCCTTTTCCTTGGAGTGTTGCATGCTGCTTCTTCTTCTTCTTCTAAATCCCATTTTATATATATATATATATATATAGGATGGCAGGATGGCAGGCATCATTGATCTTTAAAAACATAAGAAAAAAGCAGTCAAAAAGGCCAGCATCTAAAGTAAAAAGACAGGAAATTTGGGATTCTTTTTTATTTTTTCTAAGTTATGTAATCATGATTTCTCCATCTTTAAGTTTGAATTTTGATTTTAGAATTGAGAATCATTAGCCTAATGGAATTCAATAATAATAAAAAGAATTAAACTGCCTATGCAATTTCATCTGAAGGTTCTATAGACTTAATCATTTTTAAATTATTATTAAACTTATTGCTTCCATCTACAAACAAACAAAATAAAAATCCTAATGAGCAAATATATACAAACGTACTCATACATAAAAAATGAAATGTAATTTTAAAACTCTAAAATGAAAACAATCCCAAAAATTAACAAAAAAAAAAAAAAAGGCTGATCAGTTTTCAATACTAATCGAATAAAAAGAAATTCAAAAATCAATTTGAAATCGATTCGAGTAAAAACAAACAGAAAATAATAAAAAATCTAAACGCAAATAAATATTTGGTGGGTTTTACCGAAGGAAAGAGTCAGCTGTTCTTTTCCTGTTGACCGGCGGACATGAGACAAGTAGAATGGGGACGAAAAGCAACTTGTTTTTAAAAACTATATATATTTATTAATTATTACGTGCTTTTATATGAAAATGACACATAGAAGTTATAAAAGAATTTCAGAAGCAATTGATTAATATTTCATCTCAACGACCAATTCTAGAGAATTCATATGGACTAATTATTTTTTGAGGAGTAAGCTACAAATTAGTTCTTTTAGATCTAAGAAATGAATTTATTTATCCTTTTTTTCAAAAAACTAATTATTTAGTTTTTATGTTTTTAAATCCACTTATAAATAATTTTTTTTATTTTTTTAAATAGAAAAAAAAATAAGTAACAAAATAGAAAATTAATGAGAAAAGATGATATCATAAAAATAAAATAATATTAAATGAAACGTGGTTAACATTAGTTAAAAAACTAAATAATTAATTTTTTTTAAAAAATTAATTAATTCGTTTCTCGAAACTTAAGGGGTTAATTAATAATTTATTCCTTAGTTGAGGTTTGAGAGTAATGCAATTGTATTCTAACAAGTCTTATACGCTAAAGTTGTAAAATAATAAATTAGTAATTAAGTCTCATACTTTTATTTTTTATTTTTTAATTTTTGCACGTCAAACACAACAAATGGCAGACTACAAATTCTGAAAATCAATTCCATGGCGGCTATGGAATTTAATTTCATCCAGAGCACAGTCTTATTCATCCTGTTGAGATCACATTAATTATTGTTTTTTTTTTAAAAAAAAATTATAGGCTTCACCTATACATATCCTTGTTAATCAAAAAGAAAGGTTAAAAAAAAAAAATCTTTTTTGTTGGCATATGGCAGCAATTGAAATGCAGGAAAAATAATGTAGACGAATGATAAATCATTGATGCATCCTGTTATCGAGTAAAAGTTACAGAGAAAAACGCGTATAGTTTTCTTCTAAATTGCCTTGAAAATGAATAGTAAATCAATAACATATATACAACGGTAAAAAAAATTATTTTGATTTAAAAATATCAAGATTTAATTCTTACTATTCATAAATAACTAAACATGATTATTCTTTAATGATATCAAATTTAGATTGGTTTGATTTAAGATAAAAAGTTTAATGATCGATTAAAGACTAAACGTATTTTGACGTTAACTTAACCTAATAAATGATGGACTTAATTTCATATAATGCGAAAACTGATTCAAAAATACCTTACTACTTATAAATGTTAAAAAAAAATTAATTACAACCTAAAGTTCAATAAATTGAGCAAACACTATATGTATATTAATATGCTAAACAACATACGTAAAATAATATCAGCCGCAGCTCAATTAACATAAGTATTTTCCTCCTATTTTATGAGGGACTCGAATTTGAATCTTTTCTTCGTAATAAAAGATAAAAAGAAAAAGAAAAATATATGTAAAATAATAGTATAAGCTGAAGCAATCACAGGGCATCTATCCTTTGGCAAGCCAACAAAATGTTGGTAAAACCATTGCCGGACTGTATGAGATTCTTCTTCAATTTCTCTTAATTTGTCCATGCTTTCTTGGTGAGGGGAGGAAAAAAGTAGTTGGGGATGTGATGCTTCTTCTCTTTAAAATGAAAGGTAGTTAAGTTGCCTTGGTAGGTCACAACATTAATTGCTTTATACATGTCTTATTCCTTTTTCTTTTGCTTTATATAGAGATTGACTTTTCAGTGTCATCAAGTTCAATGAGCCCTACCATGCACTGTTTCAAGTGTAAAGATTTTGTAAGGTTAATTTGAATAGAAAAAATCCTAATCATTTAAATAAGTGATTCTAATCGTTTAAATAAATGATTTTGAGTTTGAATTCTTATATATATAAAAAATTGTTTAGAAAGCTGTTTCTGTCTTGTGACGCTTAATAGAATAATAAATGATCAGTCTAGATTTTTAAGTTTAGAACACCTAAAAGGATAAAAAAAACTATATAAATTATTTAGTAGCTCGATTTACACTATTGTCAATTGACATAGAAACACATTAGTATGGTCCTAATTAAGGGCACAATATTTTAAAAAATTCCATACTTAAACTTGATCAGACTTGTTCGTTTACAGGTATGATTTTATAGATTTGAATTCAATATCTCTTATCGATTAGTAGATTTGCTCATGACTTGGATTTCACATGGACTTTGATTTTATCAAATTTTGAATGGGCCAACATGAAACTCAAGTTTTTCTAAGAAAAAAAAATGCTTGAGGCCCAATTCTTATCCAGATATCTTTCGACGAGAGGTAAGTAAAAATATCGTTAGTAATAACCGGTGGATGATGCAGCGGTAAAAACTTAGTATCAAGAGGTTTGCTCTCTCCGTGATCTCTTGTTTGAGTCTTGATTGTTTTTCTTGGTGGCCACTAGAGGCTTACATGGTCGTTAATTTTAAGATCCGTAGAATTAGTCGAAGTATGCGTAAACCGATCCGGACACCTGCGTTATAAAAAAAAAATTCAGTTAGTAGTTTAATTTGAAGTCACCTACAGGCCATAGGTGGAGGAACTTCAGGCTTTGAGCCACAATGGTTGCCATGGCAATCAGCTGTAAGAGATGGGCTGATAGAAGTTGGGATGTTGCCTTACGACGGATTTACCTATGATTATATTTATGGGACTAAAGTTTGAGGAACAATTTTTTTTAAGGATGGTCACAGACATACTGCTGCTGATTTGCTACATTATGCTCTGCCAAGGAATATTGCAGTTTATTTACATGCAAATGTACAGAAGATCTTGCTTACAATAACAGGTTAATAAGTATATACTACCTTCTTACCTTAATTTTCATGTCCTAAAAATATCAATTTCGAACATATTTGGACATAATACAGGAAGATCAAGAGCTTATATGAAGATGCATTAGGAATCAAGCACAAAGCATACTTGAAAGAGAACCCCAAGAATGAGATGATCTTATCAGCTGCGACACTAGGAAGTCCACAACTATTGATGTTAAGTGGCATTAGAGCTGCCTTCCATCTTCAGGATCATGGCTTCCCGTTGGTGGTTGACCGGGGAATGGCTGATAATCCAATGAATTTATATTCTAATTAATTCCCACAATCCCTCCCCTATCCCAATCTAGGTCTCACTCATCCAAGTTGTGGGTATCACTCGTTTTGGCACCTATATCGAAACAGGCAATAGTATATGACGATGTGCGAGACTTCGACATCTAGATTTATTATACTTGATATTCAATCTTTTTGAGGGGTTAGAAGAATGGTGATAGTGTCATCTAATTCGTGTAAGCATGGAGCACAAGATATTAGTGGTGCCGTACGGTGCTTAGCATAACCACTTCGATGGCTAAGTCAGTATTTTGAGTATATATATATATATATATATATATTAAAGAGAGTGATGATTTTCTGAAGTTGTGTATATATTGGTGTGATTGATCTTGTTTTATCTTAATTGAACCTCTTATTTTATGAAAAATAGAGCTCATATATATTGGAAAATGCGCAGAATAAAGCATATATTAGTGTGTTGAGTTAGATGGCTATATAAGACTATAAAAAAGAGGGCCCATAACCGTGAGGAACCCAACCTAATGATTTTTTACAGGGAATGCTAATTTCATACTTAATCTGTACGAGGTTTATTCCTGTTAAGACAGACATTTATTGAAGACTACGAGGAGCTGTAGTTAAAATCAGGTACTGGCTTACATCAGGTTTTGAGTTCATAGAAAGTTGGTGTCAGCAAATGCAATTGTGCTTAACAGTCTCCTCTTGCTTCTGTGAGCTAACATCAGGAAATAACCCCGAAGAAAAGAAACAGAATATTATGCCATGAGCATGTAGCCATGTAAGGCCTTTAAGACTTGTAACATGAAGAAGAATCTCCTCTCAACTGCCTTTTTTTTTCCTTTTCTGGCTTGAAAAGAAAGGCTAGAAAGAGGAGAATCTTCTATGTTCTTATAAATAGCTTTTTCAAGACATGGATATTGAGAGAAAGTTGTCTGCCATAACATTGCCTGCCCCAAAACACCCTTCCCTATTTATCCCAAAAACGAAAAGCCTGAAAAGTAAATCCAAAACATCATTCATGACATATGCCATTACTTCAACGGTTTATTCCATCTTCAGCAACCTATCAAAGCATTTATAAATCTTGTTCAGGCAATATTCTACATAAACCAGAAGCAACTGGAAGCAATTTCTATGCAGGGATGTTATTATTTTCAATTTCCTCTTCTTTTTCGCTCAGGGGTTTAGGCTTCTTGTCCTCCCAACCTGTAGGGATAGGCCGGTTTGTTCCCCCTTGTATTTTGATATTTTATTTTTATTCAATAAATTACCAGGTTCCGTCCCTGTCCCACCGCGCCCCCCCCCCCCCCAAAAAAAAAAAAAAAAAAAAAAACTGGAAGCAATTAATTTGCACAAGCAAACCAGTCATAGGGCACTTCTTACTTTGCAGGCAATGGTGATTGATGCAAACATTGCAGAATTTGATTTCAATAGCTTACCAAAGTAGAGTTTCCCTGTGACTGCTTCAGCTTGAAACAATGTACTTAGATATCATCTTTGCTAGTAGATTATTAAAATCCATCTCTGCTTCCCATGAGTTTCAAAATCATGTTCTGCTGGTGCTACTAGAAGGATTAATCTATAAGAAAAATAACCTTTCTTGAATATATTTAGAAAGAAGACAATATTTTCCAGAATTCCTATCTTTATATTCTAGAATCAAGTTTATCACCAGCAACAAGTGGGTTTTGCTTAGCCAGATTTTGTCGATCAAGAGTCTTGAAATCAAATGTGCACGAGTGCTCTTCAGCATATCTATGCTTCCCGCAGAATGTCTTCCCGCACCGGCACTTGAACCCTGTCAAGCCAACTTTCTTGTTGCAGCCTTCACATCTAGTACTCTTCCTAGTCGAGCTCGAAGCAGTAGCATTACTTGTTGAAGTTGTTTCAGCTCGGCTCTTATCATCATCAGCTGGGCTCTTATCATCAACTGATGGGGTACTGGTGACAAGTTCTGAGATTTTCTCGGCAGTATTAACAGTTACCTCTTCTTTGAGATAATCTTTGTAACACTTTGAACACATATTTTTGTTCTCTGAAGAGCCAAAGAAACCGCAACCTTTAGCACACAATGGAGGAGTACTCCAGCTGTTTTGTGAATCCATAATTTTCTTGAGAATGCTGTTGTTCTTGGTTACTTGAAAAAATAAGGAGATTACTTTTGAGAACTTTTCTTCTAGTAGTTGATAGCTATTATCTGATGAATAAAACATGAAGAGCGCGCACATATATATAATATGGACATGCAAACCAATTAAAGGCGGCTAATTGCTAATCCAAATCCAAATCAGAATCGGAGAGGGAGAAGATACGTGGAGGAATTTGTAGTCATGTTAACGAGATTGAGTTTAATTAAGGATTAATAACGTATCTTGATATTTTTTTAATGTGACTTTTTTTTATTTATTTCGTTTCTATACTCTAAATATTTTTTTCTTTATGTGCATGACATTTTCGATAGAATTCTGTTTTTTTTTTATACACTAACACGTACGTCAGATAATAGTGACATTAACTTTTAATTTTGAAAAATTAATAAAATCCTACTAAGAAAAAAAAATCCTTTCTAAGAGCTTGTGAATGTTATTTTATTTTTTTTAAAAAAAAACCTCCATAATTTTTTTTGTTACGTGTCACTATTATCTAATGTGACGGCCCATTTGTCATGGGCTATCAAAACATGGATCAAAATCGTATGGAAAGAGTCACGTTAAGAAAATGTCTATGATAAAGGTACCAAATAAATAAGTAAATAAAAGTAGATGGACCATATTAAAAAATTCTCAACAATATAGAGATCAATTATGCGAAGATTTGGATAGAATGTTTCAATTTTTGTTAGTCCAAGAAAATCAAGTTTTACAGCAAATCGTCCTTGGCACATTTTTGCTGGGTTAAATATAATTGGGTTAACACGTAACCTTTTTAAATGCTTATTTACCCTTGGAGACAATCTCTATACCTCCCTTAAATCCTAATCCAAAACGAATACAATAACTTAATTAGTCTCCAAAACAAAGTAAAAATCCTAGTCTGTCACAAATACAAAATCATTAGTAGTAAGCTTATTATGTTTGACATAAAAAAGAAAAAAAAAACAAATGTTTTTATTATAAACTTTCTTGCTAGTTCTTCCATCATAATTTGCAAGAAATTAAGATGTCTGCTTTGTATTTTGATGATAATGCTTTTGACCTTATAGTCGATGAAAAAGGTGAGATTGATGTAACAAAATCGGCCTCAAAAGCTGAAGCTAATTTGGCCAAGAAAAAGAAGAAGCAACAACAGAAGCTAGAGAAACAACTTGCTAATGATTGCAATAAAGTTTCAGGTCGTGATCTTGCAACTAAGAAAAATTATATTGTGGTCTATAGTAATGAAATTGATGAAAAAGAGGAGCAAAAGACGGTCGATTATTTTGATGGTAATGAAGAGATTGATTGGAAGATTGTAGCCCAAGAGAGATTTGGACTCGAAAAAGAAAAAGAAAAAGAAAACGGAAAGAATGATGATTTTGAGAGAGACCTCAACGAGAAGAAGGTGAAGAAGCAGAAGCATAAGAAGGGAATTAGTAAAAATAAAGAGGAGAGAAATAGCGTGGAGGAAGAAGAAGGGTCACCAGGGGTAGTAAGAGGCTTATTCATGGTCTTGCATAAGGCTGTGACTGCATTAGCTTTCATGGCTTTACGTGTGGTCATGTATAGTACCTGGAAGAAGCTCTGAAAGCATGGATTTTTAGTTCTGATTATTTAGTCTTTAGGGTTTTTGGTTTATTGCATTAACTTTAATTAGTAGGTTATAGTTCTGTACATGTTTTCAGAATTTATTTTTAGAACAATTTCTTATCTTATATTTTCATAAATCTAGTAGATATTTTGTAAATTTCAATATCATCTTTAAATTTTAATTTGCTTCTACATACCTATGGGTTTTTTTTTAAAAAATGATTTTGATGGTAAATATGTGAATTTAGAGTTCTAAAACACATTCAAATCAGAGATTATGATTTACATTAGGGTTTTCTATATATGATTATATGAAAAGAGCACGATTCATTCAGGTCAAACTGTGTATTGATAATTTTTTTTTTAAAATCACACAGCTAATACACATGGACTCAAATCTCAAAATAGAAATACTCTATTATAATTTCAATTCGTGAACTCAAACTGTTGGGTTATATATTGATAATTTGCCCTTACTTTCATCCAAGTAAATAAATATTCATTGATGTTGTCGTATCTTAGTCAAATTACTCTGAATATAATTTGCTCTTTTTATTCTGATTTGGATACTGAATTTTTTTATTGGCTCTCTCAGTTAAAACAACGATATGTGTTTGCTACAGAATTGATATTTAGGACAATATTTTAAGCTAATACAGTCACAGGACAACACTCCTTTGGCAAGCCATTGAGATCAAATTGTGCAGTTAATGTTTGCATCAATCACCATTGCCGGCCAAGTAAGAGTTGCCTTACAACTGTTTTGCTTATCTAATTATGATACACACACACACATATATCTAGCTAGCTTGCTGCTTCTATCTGGTTTTCGCAGATTTCATAGAACAAGCTTTATAAATATTTTGATGGGGCGGTAAGGTTGGCATAAACCCTTGAAGAAATGGCATATGTATTTAGGGTTGTTTCCTCAAACTGAAATTTACCAAAAGCATAGCATACATATGACCAATAACGATTTTTAGAAGCACAGGAAGAATTCACTAGCTACTTCCTCCCTTGTCTAGATCTATGGAATTGCAGCTGAAGGTGAGCATGTTACTGCGTGAGCATCATACGGAAGCTTGAGACTTAGATGTGTAGGTGACTGAAGCTTTGTCAGTCGATTCAAATCAAAGAAGAGAAGTTTTCCCCATCAAGAAAAATAAAAGGATAAATGGTTGCAGGTTCAAAAATAATATTAGTAAGAAAGCACAGAAAGAACAAGACCTCCAGGATATATAAGCAAGCTAGCCATGCATCCTCTAAATCAATGAACATTTTGGAGCAAGGCAAAGATCAAAATTTTAGCAAGCTCAGCCTAAAAGTTCGAATAGGTGCAAGATGCATGGTACTTAGTCAATGATCTTTCGATGTTTTCTTTTTCGAAACTGATGGAAAAAAAAAAAAAAAAACACCGAGGAGAAGAATTTTATCACACCTTTTGCATAAGTAGGAAACAGAGCAAATAATCTATCGAGATGGGCTTTTTTTTCTGACTTTGTTGGGAAGATGATATCTAAGTAAATTATTTTAAGCTCAAGCAGTCATAGGGCAACTCTCCTTTGGCAAGCCATTGGGATTAAATTCTGCAATGCTTGCATCAATCACCATTGCCTGCCAACTGAGAGGTGCCCTATAACTGGTTTGCTTATCAAAGTATGTTACAATTCTAGCTAGCTTGCTTCTTCTGGTTTTTGCAGATATCCCTGAACAAGTTCTATAAACAGTTTGAAGGGGCACTAAGATTGGCATAAACCCTTGAAGAAATGGCATATGCCATGGATAATTCCATGGATATCCTTCTCAAGAACCTTCTTTTTTTCATTTTTGGAGCAGACGATATTATGGCAGACACCTCTTTCCATATCCATGTCTTGAAAAAGCTATTTGCCAGAGCATATAAGAGATTCTTTCTCTCGTTTTGTCCTCTGATTGGAAGCTAAAAAAGGTTAGAAAAGGGCAGTTGAGAGGAGATGCTTCTTTATGTTATGAAGAAGAACAAGTCACAGGGACCTTATGGATATGCCATATGAAATATTCTCTTTATTTTCATTTGCTTTGTTATTTTGGCTTTTCAGTGTTGGTAAGTTCAACTAAGTCACTTTCCTGGCTCTTTCAGGCAACGTCATCCATTCACCTCTGAATTTCAATGGGCATTCAGTTTGAGTCGAGGCTCATTTCATTCGATGTTTGATGTCATATTTTACCCCTCCCCCAAAAACTAATAATTACTATTTGATAATCAAGAATAGAATGGTAAAAATGAGAATAGAAATCTTATTTTCAGATTATAATTGTTTGGTTAAAATAAATGAAGTGAGAATGAGAATAAAAATAAGAAATAGGAATAAATTTTTTTTAATTAATAATATATTTTATTTATTTATTGTCTATTAATTATTTTTGTCACCACCACAATCACTATTACTACAACCACCACTACTATCACAACCACCATTATTACTATCATTACCGTCGTAACCATTACCACTACTACCACTACTACTAGAACCACCACTACCATAACCACCATCACAATAATCACCACCACTACTATCGTTGTTATTATTTTTACAACTATTATAGTTTGATAAAATTATTTGTTTAATCATTATTTTTATTTGTATAAAAAATCATATATTAAAAAATTTAAATTGCATTTCGATTTCTCATTAACATTCCAAACACAATATGGGAATACAAATATCATTCCGATTTCATACTTTTCATTCCGATTCCCGTAGTATTATTTCGGACCTTTTATTCCTTATAATCAAACAACACCTTAAGGTTATGGCAAAATAAGACTTGCACTCGTCGGTTTGATTTTAAATCTAAATTATTATTTTTCGGATAAATTTTGTCTTTTTTCATTATGTGACGGTTAAAGTTTTAAACATTAGCTAAAATGTTTAAGACTTTCATTTTTATAACACTTAAAATTAGTTTTGTAAAAAAAATTATTCTATAATTGCAAAAAAATTACTTAAATAGCATTCATTGATCTAGGTCCAATTCTATTTTGGGCAATATTAAATTACTTTTTTCAAAAATAATTTTAGATGTAAAAACCAAAACTTAAAATGATTAAAATCACGTCGTTTTAAGTACTTTTTAGTTAATATTTAAAATTTAACTATCAAATGTAATAAAACATGACAAAATTTATCTAAAATATAATAGTTTGAGGTCAAAATAAACCAAATTAATAATTTAGATCTTATTTTACAATAACCTTAATAGTTTAATAGTAAAATATGCCATCAAATCGTTAATTTACACTACTAAAGCAAGACTTATCCTACTTTTAAATCAAGATTAGCTAAACATGAGTACTTCTATATTTAGCCAAAAAAAAAAAAAAAAATCGCAAACAACTCTTGAATATACACAATCGCAATCATTGTAATTTTATTCAATTTTTTGGGAAATTTTTACATGGGTTTATTCGTAAAAATTTCGTTACAAAATATTCGTTCCATACATATTACTCACTAATGATTAGTTTTTTTCATAATGAGATTAACTAACAAAAAGGCTAACTTTGTTCATAATTTTATTTTTTTTCTTAATTTTCCAAACAATTTCCTCTCGAATCCTTATAAATAGTAAGATTTCATAAAAAAATTTAGCAATCTGAAAAAAAAAAAAAAAACCAAATTCAAAATGTAAGTTATTTAATGTTTATTAAGGATATAATTAGAACTTTTTGGATGCTAGAAGGATAACATTAGGATATTTTACAATTTAGGGACGGAAATGTAACATTTTTTATCTACAGAAGCAAAATAAAATTTATCCCATTCCACGTGCAAAAGACATTACACTTACTTTTTCCAGCTATCCGTTATCACATCGAAGAAAAAGAAGAAGAAGAAGAAAGCGGTCTGTGCTGCAGCTAGCAAGAAAGCAAGAAAGACCCAAAACACAGTGGAGCCATTCATTCAATTCCTCTGGGTATGTTTAATTTTCTTCTGCTTTGTCTTGCTTCTTAACTTTTAGAACTTGCAAAAGTTGTCAAATCTGACCTAACAATAAAACAACAAGTGTTTGCATGGAAGGTGTTTGGTTAAATTCTCAATAAAGCAAAACATTTTGCGAACTTCTCAATCTTCTGTTCTGGGAAAAGGGAAACACATTCTTACTGGACTGAATGAATTACTGTATGATTTAGGACCGAGACTTATTGCAATAGTTTGTCTAGGCTGTTTAAAAATGCTGACGCAGAAGATGAAGAAGGCAATCACAGATAACCCAAAGAAGCTTGCCAACTTAATTGATCTTGTAAATCTTCCTTCTACGCTTAGAGATTTTGTGGGCCAGTCTCAGATTTCTCGTTTGGGCTGCTTCAAGTTTGTCTGGTCCTATATCAAAACCAATAAACTCCAGGTTTTTTTTTTTTTTTTCCCGTCTTTTATTTATGTCTTTCTGCTAATTGGAAATAATTTTCTCAATTGCAGGAATTCCTTTTTTCCTTCAGTATTTAGGAAATATGGTTTCTTTTTTTTCAATGTTTTGTTTGTTATGCCAATACCCATTGATAAATCAAAGTTTTTTTTTAAATCTTTTTTTTGCCATTTTTTCTTAAAAAGAAGAAAATATTCTTAATCTTGTTCATCTAATTCTTGAAACTTTGCGTTGTCATATATATATATTTACATGTAATTCACTATAGCGGTGTTTCAGCTGAAACGATTATTGCTTCTTGTCATTTGATTGCATCTAATGGGTGGCTTATTTAGTTATTTAATAGCTTTAATGCGAAAGTTTAAATTCTGCAATTTTCTTGTCATTTTAAGAAGCAAATATGAGGACGTATAGGAAGTGCATCATAACATATGTCTCAACTGATTCTAATTATGCAAATTGTATATATGTTTGCTATTATTTCTTTTGGTTTTATTGATATTGTTCTCTTAATGAACTCTTGCCAAAACTGTTGGGTGTGTGCCATTTAGGATCCAAACAACAAGAATGTGGTCAATTGTGATGAAAAGTTGAAAAGTATCTTGTTGGGCAAGCAACAGGTTGAATTGGTGGAACTTCCTGCACTGATCAAATTGCATTTTCCTAAACAACAAAAGTGAGTTGCAATTTGAGATCAGATGCCTATCTTTCTCCAATGTCATGTTACCTAAATTTCTTGTTGTTTCATAGTGAAGCATTCTCTGGAGGATTTTTTTTTATTTTTATTTTTTTTTGAATTTGTGACTCATTCAATATAAATTTCAAGTTTAAGCTTTCTTTCTTTTTCTGAATTTGTTATTATAGGATTTAGTTCATTTATTTATCTATTTTGCATCAGACTTGTCGATCCGATATGCAATTTTACTTAGCCTTTTTCCATTGGAATAGTGAGAATCCATAGAAAATATTGTTTAATATCACCTCGCTGGGATTATTCATATCAGTCAATTTATGTTATTTTTGTGAGAGAACATAACAATTGAATTACTTCATCAAATTGAACCCCCTCTAGACTGTGGCTGTTTTTGTAGAGTTATATATTATGGATATGCCTTCCTGATTCTGATACTGTAAGGACATTTTGTCCATTCTTTGGATTTCCCTGAACGAGCTTTATAAACGCTTTGATGGGGCGCCCAGGTTGGCATAAACCCTTGAAGCAATGGCATATGCCATGAATAATGCTATGGATATCCTTCTCAAGAGGCCTTTTTCATTGTTGTGATAAATAGAGAGGGTATTGTTGGAGTAGTCAATGACTCAATGCTATGGCAGACATCTTTCTCTATATCCATGTCTTAAAAAAAGCTAATGCTAAGAACATGTAAGAGATTCTCTCTCTCATTTTGTCATCTGTTGGAAGCCAGGAAAGGTTAAGGATTAAAAAAATGCAGTTGATAAGAGATGCTCCTTTATTTTATGAAGATGAGCAAGTCACAATGTAGGCCAAAACAAGGAGGGCTTTTCAATGATTGTAATGTCAACTAAGTTATAAGCAAAGTCGTTCACCTCTGAAGTTCAATTGGCATTCTATTTCAGACAAAGTTGGTTTTTCTCTGCATTTTATCTTTGCTTACAATCTTACAAGTCAATTTGTCTACGTTTCTTAGTCATAAACCTAGTGACCTACAATAATTGTACACGCACTTTTGTCAATCTTTTATCTAACCAGAACATCTTGGTCCTGGAAGAAACCTAATTTTGCTTCAAGAAGATTGTCCAAATTTGACTCCATTGAAACCTATGTGGTGTATGGACCATTGCCCATCATATACTACAAAGCAGCAGGCTTTTACCTCTAATCAATTCTCCATTTTTGTTGGATCAAGAAACAAGTGTTGCTTTTATGATTCAAGGAAACAGAGATGTTTACTGATGGTGATCTTATTCGTTGATTACGGTGGAGCTCAAACACGATGGACTGATTATATTGCTTCAAATCAAATGTGCATGAGATCAGAGCAGTTGTCCAAATCATTTATGTTTCATAAATTTGTAGCTTCTAGCAGAAAAAACAAAAGGAAAATCATACAGTAATTTCCCAAAAATTAAAGTGATAAATCCCATTTCTATGTATTTTCAATATCTGTACACAATAACCTGGCGAGGAACTTGTAATCGTTGTCGACAACCTTGCCGACTTGGAACTTGGAAGCCTCCATAGTAATGCCATATGGTCGCGACTGACACGACTGCACGGAATATATAATAATGCAAGTACAAGTCCCATCGACCAGTTTGGGGCACGTAAATGTTCTACTGGAGAGCAAATAAGAACAGATTGAAAAATCTTAGCCTAATCTTGTACTTGGTGCCAAACGAAACAACCCAAAACCCCATAAAATTGTCTCGTGAACTTTAGGATGATGAGATAGAGTTTGATGGTAGATGAAGATCAAGTTAGTTGCAAACACCCTTAATGTGTTTGGAGAATTCTTTGATAATTAAGACGGTGTTTAGAAGAGAATGATGACTTGAAAAAACGTAATATAATGATACACGTATAAAAGGGATGATAAATAATAGATGTGTTAATAAAATTGTACTATTTAAAAAGAAAAGTTCTGTCACAAACTTTAACCTAAGTCTCACGACCGTATACTATAAGGATCATGGCCATATATTACTACAGAAATTAAAAGAGCTAGAGCAAATGAATAGTAAAATACTATTCTTTTATTTTTTATCTGCCTAGATTTACTATTCACAATATGGCTCTTTTATAATTTTTTTGTCCTTCTGGAGGTGGAGGTAGATGCAAGTCCGTCGATCGATAGCCAACTTCCTAAGAATAGCCCTAACCGGCCATCTGATGGTCGTCCAGGTGGTCTTGTGTCGTCCGGGCTTATTTCCAGACTAACTGTCATGACTGTTGGATCATCAGCCATCCCTTGACCAACTATCGGCTGATCCACCACCACTGAGATGCTATGAGCTTGAAGATGGTTGGCAGGTCCAAAACCACTTAGCGTCAGTAGCTGTGGGATTCCTAGTGCACCTGCTGATAAGATTATCTCATTCTTGGAGCTCCTTCCCAAGTATGCCTTTGTGTCTGAAGCCTAAATTTATTCATCTAATATTCTTAACGCCCAGATAAGAAGCATTGTAGTGCTAATGGCTTCACGTTCTTTTGGTGCAAAGATGGCCGTTTAAAATTGATCGTTCAAGATTGGTAAATAAGATTATAGAACTTCATTTCTTAATGACTAGGCAGACAATGCAAGTCAGTAGGTTTTTTGGATTTGGAAGGTAGATACAAGCAGCGTACCAGACTTCCACTAAGACAGATATATAGGTGACTGAAAAGCTTTGTCAGCTTGAACTTTGATATGGGACTAATCACAAGCCAAGAAAAGAAGAAAAGCTGTCCTCATCAAGAAAATGGAAGGACGAAAATTTGTTGCTTCAAAATGATGACTAAGAAAGCATTGGAAGAACAAGACATCCTGGATTAGCAATCCTTCCTCAAAATCAATGAACATTTTTGAATTTTTCATTTAATATGTTGCAAAAACATGGTGTTGAAACTGATTGGAAAAAACACCGAGGAGAAGAATCTTATCACACCTTTGCATAAGTAGAGAGAAGAGCAAATAATCTACTGAGATGGCATTTTTTTTTTCTGACTTTGCTGGAAAGATGATATCTAAGTACATTTATTTTAAGCTAAAGCAGTCAAAGGGCAACTCTCCTTTGGCAAGCCATTGAGATCAAATTCTGCGATGTTCGCATCAGTCACCATTGCCTGCCAAGGAAGAGGTGCCCTACAACTGGTTAGCTTATCAAAGTATGATACCTGTAGCTACCTTGTTGCTTCTGGTTTTTGCAGATTTCCCTGAACAAGCTTTATAACCAGTTTGATGGGGGCACTAAGGCTGGCATAAACCCTTGAAGAAAAGGCATATGCCATGGATAATTCGATGGATATCTTTCTCAAGTGCCTTTTTCCATTTTTGTGATAAATAGGCAGGATACTTTTGGAGGGTCAATACTATGGCAGGCATCTGTTTCCATATCCATGTCTTGAAAAAGCTATTTGCAAGAACATATAAGAGATTCTTTCTCTCATTTTGTCCTCTGATTGGTAGCTAGAAAAGGCTAAAAAAGGGCAGTTGAGAGGAGATGCTTCTTCATGTTATGAAGATGAATAAGGCATTAGGACCCTATGCGTAGGGCATAATATTCTGTTTCTTTTCATATGCTTTATTATGTTGGCTTTTCTGTCTCGGTAAGTACAACTAATTTTCAAGGAGGACTTTAATCAGTGTTGCCTTTATTTATAAGCAAAGTCATAAACCTATTATAATTGTACAAACGCTTTTGTCAATGTTTTATCTAACAAAGATGATCTTGGTCAAGGAAAAGAATAATTTTTCTTCAAGAAAATTTGTCCACATCTGAAGTTATATATCCCATTTCCATGTTTTTTCAATTTCTGTACACAATAACATACTGAAATTACCAAAAGCATAACATGCACAGGACAAATGATGATTTTGTTGAAGCATGGGAAGAATTCATTGTCTACTTCGTCCCTTCTTTAAGTCTCTCATACAGAATCCTCCTCCCCATGTATCTGCATCATCACAAATTTAAATAAATACAACAATAAATAAAATTTTTCACAGGTCCTATGTTGCTGCAATTGAATGTTAGCATGTTACCTTCCGAGCATCATAACTGTAGCTTGAGGATTAGTCCCAGGTGAAGCGATGAATGTGGAACCATCGATAACCCTTAGTCCATCCACACCGAGAACCTTGTAATCGTAGTCGACAACCTTGCCCACTTGGCAGCCTCCATGGTAGTGCCATATGGTCATGACAGTATCTGTGCAGAATTGTTCCAAGGAAATTGCTGAACTGAAGTGTCTTGGTCTCAGGTTCACAGGCAAGTTCAGCATCAAGTCAATGAGAGCTTTCACTGGCATATATTTGTAACGGAATTTTGAAAACGCTCTCGAATTTACTACATCTATAATGGTTTTCATGCCTTGAACGCACCTGTTTAAGTCCTCTGGTTCTTTGAAGTAGTTAAATTTGACAGAAGGGTTATCATGTGGATTTGTAGTCACCAGCTTGAGTTCACCCGTGGAGAGTGGACCGTTAATTTTCTCAAGAATAACTCCACCCTGTAGAGTTCCAGTCACAAGGGAATTTAAGGTTTCAATAGCTCTTGACATGGCTTCTGGTGTCACTGCAGAGGACTGATCTGTCTGCATATGGGACCAAGTGAAGTTGTTAGCTCAAGAAAAAACATTGCAGCATTGTTAAGCACAATTGCATCTGTCGTGACTGTGTAATGTGCAGGCCTGTGCTGTAATCATACTTTTAAATAGCGATCGCAGTTAAAATAACAGTCGCAATCAGATTGCGATAATGGATGCAGAATTTAACGGTTAGTTAATTACCTCATTTAAATGCAACTCATATTCCCTTACAAACTTGTGAACCCAAGAGTAAGCAAAGCTCAAACCACTAGCTGTTTCGATATAGCTGTCAAACTTGGTAATGCCCACAACTTGGATGAGTGAGACTTCAACTGGGAGAGGGGAGGGAATGAACAAAAGATTCATTGGATTGTCAGCCATCCCTTGACCAACCATGGGCTGATCCACCACTACTGAGATGCTATGAGCTTGAAGATGGTTGGCAGGTCCAACACCACTTAGCATCAGTAGTTGTGGGCTTCCTAGTGCACCTGCTGATAAGATTATCTCATTCTTGGAGCTTCTTGATCCCAAGTATGCCTTGTGCCTGAACCCTAACGCATCTTCAAAAATCACACCATAAGCTCTTGGTTTTCCTGTTTTAGCAATGTTCGATTAAATTACTAAGGAATTTTATACCACAAAATAGAAGAGCAATTCAACATTCCAACGAATTTTATGCATTTTTTTCTTACCTGTTTCTGTAAACAAGATCTTATGTACGGTAGCATGCAAAAGAACTGAAATATTCCTTGGATCAGCATACTCTAACAAATCAGCAGCGGTGTGTCTATGACCATCCCTATCAAAAATTGTCCCTCCAACTTTAGTCCCATGAATATGATCATACGTAAAGCCATTGTAAGGCAATACTCCAACTTCTAGCAACCCATCTCTAACAGCTGATTGCCATTGCAGCACCGGTGGCTCAAAGGCCACCTTGCTCTCAACCCATGCATAAGACCTATCGACCAATTCTGGGTTCCAACCGGCTTTCTTCACGTAATCAGCACTCGCATGAGTGTAAAATCCTGCGTTCAAGGCGCTTCCGCCGCCTAAGACGCGTGCACGAGCGTTATAGACTCCATCCTCGGAGATGAATTGTTGGGAAGCCGAATCGGGAGAGGTGTCGGAGAGCGAATCGGCAAAGTTAGCAATGTTGGTTATTTTGGGATTTCCATACGGCGAGCCACCTCTTTCGAGGACTAGGACGCTTGCATCTTGCGACAGAGTTGCAGCCAGTGGACAGCCTGAGGTTCCTCCTCCGATGATTATGTAATCATAGTATAGGATATGTGGTGCTGAGGTTGCTTCATGAACAAATGTGTAATATGGAGCTGCAAAATATCAGTCACATTACTAATTCTGCCAATTCAAAACACAAATTATTGCCTCTTGACATGATCATCAGACACATAGAAAACCAAAATTGTACTAGATAGACACAATCAAAATGTGTTCGTGCTCAAACGTGTGTGCTAAGGAATTGCAAAATTGGTGACAAATTCGTACCTTTCTCCGAATGACAGAAGCTACGGAACATGGAAAATCCTGCAAGAACAATCAGCAGACATTTCCAGGATCCCAAATCCATATTCTGTCAACTCTTAATTATCAAGACCTTACAATCTAGGTCCTATATGAAATCTTATTAATTTACACCACCAAAGCAAGACCTACTCGAGCTTTAAATAACCCAAGAAAGTACTACTACGATGTAAGTGGCTTAAATTTCTTTTGGTGCAAAGATTTCCACTTTTTCTGTGTCAAAGACAAAAACTTTTAGTTCAACAACATAAATTTTGCTATTATTCATCTAAAGATTCAATGTCCTTGTACTTCGTTACAATGCTTGACGTGTGAAAACTAAAGCAGCTACTAGTTCTTCTCCTTAATGCAATCGCAAAAGAGAAAAGATCGAGAGCCTAAACACTGATGGCATTACAAATTTGCAAATCAATGGATTTATATAGTATGGTTTGGTAGCAATTTTGGTATCTCTATTGAATCAATTTCTTGAGAGCAATAACTTCACCTTCCTACCACATGCTACTTTCTATACTTTGATTTATTGAATTAAAGCAACAAATCAGAGCAAAATTTATTCCTTCATCGATCATTTTGGTAATATTGTCATTTATTAATTAAAATTTTTGTCAAACAATGTGAAAGGCTAAAAAAGAAGAAGAAGATGAAAAGGCCCTTATAGATTCATCGATAGTCCACTTCGACATTGAGAGTTTGAATTTTCCAATCTTATCCCTATAAATTTTGAAAATTTTCAATTTTGTCCTTTACTATACTAAATAATTAGCTAACAAAAGGCTAACCTTTTTCATAATTTATTTTGTTTTTTCTTACTTTTCTCTAGATGTTTCCTTATCAAATCGTGCTATATATATATATTAATATTTCACAAAAATACTTAGAAATCTAGAATAATTAAAGACCAAATTCAAAATGTAGGCCATTTGATGGCTAGGGTAATAGAAGAACTTTTTACACACTAAAAAGATAACATTAAGAAATTTTAATCTATAGGGGCAAAATAAAATTTACTCATGGTTTTTACTTAAGGGAATAGACCTGACCAGTGAAAAAAAATGAATGTAAAGTAAACTAGCTCAGCCATTTTTATATGAGTTTATGTGGGCTTTTGAATTAGTTGAGAAACTGAGAGAGAGAGATTTTGCTAGATATACCTATTGCAGCTTGACTTTGATGCCATGGAAATCAAAAACCAAAGAACTAAGAAGAAAAGATGTTGCTTTCAAAACATGACTAAAATGGAATAATTCAGGATTGGCAAACCATCCTTAAAATCTATGGGCGTTTTGGAGGCTATTTATTAAGGGAGAATTGGTAGTTGAAATTCATGCTAAAAATATCATAATTTTCACTGGCAAGGTACTATTTTAACTATTAATTGAGGTCAGTAGAGCTAGTTCTTTTGTTTATTTAAAATAGCTATCCTAGTCTATCAATTTATAAGTAGTAATTTATATAAAAATATCCTTCAAGATGGGCAGTCAAAAAACTTGAAGACGTGTTTTGAATAGATTTATTTATTTATTTTTGTTAAAAGAGTCAAACCCCTCGTGAATTTTATTTTATTTAAAAATTAGTCTATGAGCTTTTAATTTATATTTTGATCTTTTTAACTTTTTTTTAGATTTAGTCTATTTTTTAGTTTTTTTTCATTTATTCCAAAAAAGATTACATAAATAGTTTCATGATGAAAATCATTCGGTGAGATTTATATAGAACTCTCCAAAATAAGTTGAAATCATTCTGGATTATTTTTTATTTTTTTTATTTTCTAATTTAATGTTAAAAAAATAAACAAATATAATTCTCAACTTTGAAAAAATTTAGAATATTTCTAGAAAGTGGATTGGATTTTTTTTAACGTGTGTACAAAACTTCATATCAAAATACCGAAAATTGTTGTGGTAATGTAATTAGGATTTCAGCTCCAAATTTTCTTTATTATTTTATTTCTCTCATCTAATCTTAAAAAAATCAAAAGACAAATTAAAAATTCAGGGATTGATTTTCTTAAATAGTAACCTTGCTTAGTCAATAGGAATAGAAACTGTATTTGTTGTGGTAATGTAATTACGATTTCGGCTCAAAATTTTCTTTTAAAAAAAAACCCTCTCATATTTCTTTAGAAACATGACTATCATGTTTCTTTGATCTAAATTATTAAATTCAAATCATATGTATACAATTTATGACATGATAAAAATAGTAACAACATTCTTTATTATTTTATTTCTCTCATCTAATCAGAGTAAATCTAGTTTTGTAAAATGAATTAATCGATCCCCTTTGTTTAAAAACTAATTATTTAGTTTTTATATTTTTTAATTTTTTATAACTTAATTCAGTTTCGTTCTTTTTCAATTTATTTTAATTTTTTTGTTATAAAATAAATAAATAAATAATATGAAAGGATTGACGAAAAATGATGATATTTTTTTTATAAAAAATAAAATAATATTAAATTGAGTGTGGTTGATTTCGATCAAGAAACTAAATAATTAGTTTTTAAAACAAGAATTAATTAATTTTTTTCTTAAAAGTAGAAGGACTAATTTATGATTTACTCCATCTAATTGTGGTCGTTAAATTCAAAATTAATGGTTAAATTTGATACATGACCGGATCATATGAAAGGATCCAAATCCATAACGTTTCAAAAATTAATTTCGCGTTGTTGCTAATATTAAATGCCATTATATGCACGTCATGTGCTTTTCTAAAATAGTAAAAAAGGGTTTTTTTTTTTATTCTTTATAATAATTTTTACATAGTATTGTATATATGAAAAAAAATCTTTAAAAGCAATTAAGAAAATATAACCAAACAAAACAACTTGGCCCAGCCTCATGGCCATATAGTTAAAGTCCGGCTCATATCTTTAAACAAGAAGGCATAAGCACATGCAAGCCTGCTATTTATTATTTGTTTTATCTTATACACGTGCCACTAGCCTTTTTTTTTTTTTTTCCTCTTCCAACTTTACTCTTATATCCTTGTAAGAAAGTTATTTATATGACACTTGTTTATTGGATAATAAATTTCATTAAAAACTAAAATCTAAACAAACAAAAATTGAAATAATTAATATTATTATAGAGAAAATTAAAATATTTACCTACTTTCTAGATTCATTTTAATGAAAGATAGAAAAAAAAATTCATCCATATAATTATTTTGATAGGTAACATATTTAACATCATAAAATTATTTTTAGAAGATTTTACGGTTTGAATAGGATGAAGAATAGTTTTAGGGTAAAACTATAAATTTGTTTTTATAGATGGATCAATATTCCATTTTGATCCCTATAGTATTTCAATTTTTCCCTTTACCATACTGAATATTTAACTAGCAAAAGATGAATTTTTCACAATTTTTTTTCTTACTTTTCTCTCAAATCCTCTAACGTGTAATAATATCTGAAATAATTTCTTTTTTGTTTTTAAAAAATACCGGGCACCGCTCCAGTATTGGCTTGAATTTATCAGAAGTTGGCTGGGCTTTTTTTTTTTTATTCCTCACCTTTTTTATGGCCTCTTTCTTTTTCTTTTTTCTTTTTCAGGATGAGCCTTCCCTTTTATGGCCAAGCCTAGCCGTATTTCCATTCAGCTCAAGGGTGGGCGATTCCCTTTATTAGCTAGGCCCAGCTTTTTCTCCAGCCATTTTTCTCGGCGGGTTTTGATTTTTTTTTTATATATATATATACATTAGGCCTCTTCACTCTCTCTTTTTTTGGCTGGGCCATGCCTGTTTTTTTTCCTTGGGCCTCTTTTGTTTGAAAAACCAACTTCTGATAAAATAACCAGCCTCAGCCCCCCATAGTGCATTATCTCTGTTAGCCACGAAGACCCATGGCTAACCAATTCACTAGCGGCTAGGGTAACAGGCTCTTGCCGGGAGCCTGGGCGCACTGTTCTCCAATTTCTATCTCTGCTTATATATGTATGTTAAGAGCCGCAATTTTGCACGTTTTTCGATGTGGGATTGCTGACATTTGCAACCGACATGGGTGGCTTTGTTATAGCGTACCACGTGTATACGCGAAAATAGATAACGCTCCCCACCTTCGCTATATGAATTTTGATCCGATATTAAAGCGTGAAAAAAATATTATTTTGCGGTTTGTCTCCCAAAGAAAGTTTTAAAATATTATTAAAGAGCTATCATGAGTTCCTCCACACAAAAATATAAAGAAATCATTGTAAAAATTCTTTTGTATGTGCTACTCCTTATTCACTGAACTTCTGAAAGAAAAACTACAATGAAACGAAGGAATGAGCGGTGGGTTATTAGGGTTAGTTATATAAAGCTCAAAACTACATAGTTTAATTTAGAAACGCTTTTTTTTTTTTCTTGGGTACGATTTTGACTCATTCAAAACCTATATATATATATATATATATATATATTCCCTTGGCCTCCTCAGTCTCTCAGCTGTTTTTTCTCTTTGGGCCTTTTATGCTAAAATTACCAGCCTAAGTCCACCCAGGTGCGTTCTCTACTCTAGCCACGAAAAACCCATGGCTACGCTATTCACTAACGGCTAGGGTAACGTACTCTTACCAGGAGCCCGGGAAGCCAAACCCCCTTACGTTTCGATCTTTGTGCTCACATATCGATATTAAGAGCCGCGCTTTTGCTCTTTTTGCGATGTGGGATTACTGACATTTACAATCGACGTTGATAGCTATACTATGATAGCGTGCCACGTGTACAAGTAAAACTGATAAGAAAGGGCACGTGGCTTGAATTTAATTATTACTTATTTTAAGAGCTGCAATTTTTTCGTTGTGGGATTCTAATTTTTCTAGATTTTAAGCAACCGACTAAGATTAGTAATTAAATATTTCGATGTGGGATTTTGCCTTCCCTTATAAAAAGGGCTTAAAATTTAACATCGAAGTCCAGCTTAATTAAGTATAATAATCTGGCTAAGTACACCTTTGTCTTGCTTACTTATATTTTACTTAATCTATTTGTTAAAGATCCTTGTTTAATACTATATTGATAAAAAGAAAATTACTTGATACTATGTGGAAAGTATAA